AATGATAATGATCCGAAGGAATTTACCGGCAGCCTTGACACAATTTTATAGAAGTAACCTCCATTAGTTACAGTATGTTTTTGAAAAAAGTACTCTCTGCTATTGGTTTACTTCTTACAGTAAAAGGACTCAATAGACAATAAAACTCTTAGTACTATCCTGAAGCCAAAAAAAATTTTCTCCGAAATTTAAGTGAACCTTCTTTTTTTACTTAAAAAAAAAAAACAAAAGACAGCCGAAATTTCGACCCTGTATGTACATACATTTGTTATCCTTCTTCTTTACTGGCGTAAACTCCGCTTACGCAATTATGCCCGAGTTAACAATAGTCCGCAGTTCATTTCTTTTTTTCGTTGTTTGGCGCCAGATCCTTCTCTAACCGGTCTTTCGCACGGAGTGAAGGTCTTCACCTCTCTCTGCTTCCACCGGGGATTACTGCATCGAAAACTTTCAAAGCTTGAGTATTCACATCCATCCACACCACATGACCTAACCGTTCGTGAAACTATTTGGATGTCACTGTGCATCTCATAGAGTTGATCCATCCATCGGCTGAGTTATTCGTTATTACCAACACACAGGAGACCATATACCTTATGCAAATCATTCTCTCGAAATCTCCCAACGCCCGTTCCAGCCAATAATGGCAATATCATCGCCATAATAAAGCAGATTTACACTCTTATAGATGATTGTACCTTCTCTGCAGCTCGCATTATTTTCTCCGACAATGAATTAAAGAAATTACATGATCCCCTTATCAACTTTTCTGAAACCCCCTTTAGTATCGAACGCCTCGGTGAGATTCTCCCCGACCCTGGCGAAGCCTTTCGTGGTGCTTAGCGTCACTTTTCTCAGCCACTTATACAACATATATACCCTTTTGAAATATTGTACTCCTCTGGCCATAACTCAAGGCATGCATACAATGTATAATTTATTTATACTTATTTACTCACATACATATTTCCATAAAATTTCATTTCAATTACTCACAAATGTATTAAATTAGTGCAGCTCTTCTTCTTCTTGCCCCACCCCTCCATGCATTGGTGTAACAAATTATTTGCGATTTTCCGAAATTTAAGTGCATTTAGTGCATAAATATTTTTCACAACTCGCATAAACTCCAATAAAAGTTCAATAAAGTGGCAGCAATGCAGAGGTGTTGACACATTTATGTAGCGCACATAAAGGCGCCCTTCCGGTACTTTTGTCTTTCTATGCATGCATGTATGTGTGTATTTGTGTATGTATATATGTCTATTAATTTGTAGGGTGATCGAGTTGTTGTATTGTACTTAAGTCTGTGAGCTGGAGCATAAGCAATTCTTATGTTTTTCTTTTTCTTATTCTTCTTCATGGGGATAAATCAACAGAAAGCGTGTTGCATGACAAAATTTCTCAACGAAAAATGATTCTGTCTTCTTTCAGCTTTCAACAACACCTTACCGAATTCTGTTAACTCTGCCTTAAAAGATTGCCTTATAAACCAGCTACTTCTGTGTAGGACTATAACTGTGAGCTTCGTAGGATATCAGCTATGCACTTACGTGAGGGCAGGTAACCCTCAAGGTGGCGTCCTATCTCCCGTGCTCTGGAATTACATGGAGAGGAGCCAGAATCGTTCCAAACACAGATGATATTAGTAATAAGGAGTATTTCCAAACTCAATGTGACGTGATGCAGTGGAATCTTCGGAGAATATCTAACCGATCTAGCCGTCATGGACTTTGCGTCAACTCAAATAATCCTTCTCAAATCCTTCAAATAAGGTAGACCTCATACTGCTTTGGAAGTATAAAATACCGACAATAAACTAATTTTAAATGGGGTTAAACTAAGTTTCGGTACCAAAGAAAAATTTAAGGTGAGAAGGCCTCCACCGCTCTCTGCACATGTAAAAGGGCATTTGGTAAGAAATGGAGTTTTGAACCCTAAAGTCTGTCACTGAATCTTTACATTTGTTTTGTATGTGATGAATTTTGCACCAGCTGTAAGGACGAAGAAGAGGAAAAGTTAGTTGAACGGTACCTCTATCACTATCCAGCCTTGATATCGGCGTGACATAAGTTTCTCGTGGAACACAAGTTCGTAATCACGTTGCTTTACGAAATGGCACGAATATTTGCGAAGAAAAAGATAGAGCCCCTGAGCGATAACACAAGCTGAAGTGCGTTCCGCGGTATCATCTCAACTCAACTCTTGCAGATCCAAATTATCATCAATTGCTTCAAATGTGTAATCGGCAAATATGATTGGCATGGACAATTCTCAAAATATTAAATTCAAAGATCAGCGTTGATTAGCATCAGTGGTGCACTCAAGACCACACCCAATGAAGTCTTAAATGTAATCCCAGATATTTTACCATTCGACTTAATGGGTTTGCAGACTACAGCGCTAGCCGCTCTTCGCCTTATGAAGCTACATCAGCGGAATAATTAATGACTTAGACACTCGTCGACAGTCTTTGAAAGATACAATTTCATACCAAGTAGTGCAGCCAATCGACAGTATTGAGATATATAATATATTGTTATAAAAATTGAATAATGTGTCTTCTCCAGAGACCCAGCCCTTGAGTTCTATTTCATGCTACCAGTTCATTGCGATGTTTTTCAGACTGAAATTGCAGCCATTAAGGAAGCAGCAAACTGCCTTGGAAATGAGCACATCAACAGGGATATCTCTATTTTCAGCAAGAGTGAGAAGCCGATTAAGTCGCTTGGCTCGCTTAAAACGATTGCAAATATTGGGCTGGACTGTCGCCGATCTCTACAGGAGATGGGTCTACAGATACAGAAGGAAATTGTAGTAGACGAACTTGACAGGCTAGGCGCGAACAAACGGATTCTCCCAATAAAAACCGCATTGATATGCCTTTTGCTTACAGCAAAATTCTCAAAGACTCTACTTGTGAGCAGACCAAATAAAGATGGAACTACGCAACCACTTGCATAATTTCTAGGCAAACTTTGCCGAAAGATGCGCTGAAGCTGGGAGTTCACTTCAGGAGATGCTATAGAAGCTGGAACATGTATCCTATGTGAGTACTCTATCTTGGACAGAGCTAGGCTCCGATATATAAATGTAGAGTTTAATTTTTGTTTGTCGAGAGAAGACTTTACTTCTTAATTGTTTACTCAGTCCAAAGAAACACCTGTTGGTGATTCTGCATTGGATTTTAAGCTGACTTTGCGCTGACTGTTCGCTTGGCAGCATGGTTAGGAATGTTTTTGCTTCAATAAGTAGTAAGTATTCCAGTAAAATAAGTAGTTAAAAAAAAATGATCCATTATAACCTAAGAAGATTATTATCCAAAAAAAAATGAGACTAAAGTAACATCGATGATTCCCCAAATCTTCCTTATGCTGTACTTATTGTACAGTTACATACATATATATATATATTGTATTATAATATATTATTCTTGTATAAAAATATGTTTTTTATAACAAACGTAGTAAAAAGCTAAGAGAAGTGTGAACCATAACCTCGTTGTTTCGGGTAAGGGTCACAGGAAAGGAAACGACATGCTACATAAAGAGAGGGAGGTGTTTCGAAAGCCCTAAAATATGGCTACGTACTTGGTTTGCTGACAATCAGCGATTTCAATCACTGGATTGTTAAATAGAGGTTCCAAAATTTGTTGTTTAGCTTCTCTTCATTTTTCGCCAATATTGTCACTAACGAGTTTGATATTTAACTGTACTTCTGCGTTGTTAGCCGTCGGTCTTATTTATTTAATATATATATAATAAGTGGAGATTTTCCGAGCTTCTCATCCAATTTGTGGTGCGCCTCTTGGTGTTTTCCCAACAAATCGAGGGACCTACAGTTTTATTTCATGTCAGAAATACACTCGGCGGGCTTGATATTCCCTGCTGAGAGGCTACCGACTTTTAGAAAAATAAATTTTCTATAATTTTGCATATTGATCGAATCAGAACTCAAACCCTGGCAAGGCTAACCACTCTGCTAATAGAGCTCAAAATTTTGTTCGAACATTTACGAGCAGCTCGAGCATTTCCATAAGCATCTTGTACTTACCCATTCGTTCATTGCCTGAAAATTTTCGATATCGAGCTTGTCTCAGGACTTTTTTCTAAAATTTTAAATTTATTTATGTTAAGCATAAAGCTCATTAAAATACTAAAAGAATTTTGACAAACACAATTGAAATTTTAAAAATTTCAAACAAACATTTGCGCTGTTCAGCAACGAGCGAGTATGAAACTGCTCGAACTGCATTTCTAGAGGGTTCTGCTTGACTGTTCTGGACACAGAACATTCGTTACATATGCGAAAAAAAAAAATCACCTCACATTCGTATTCCGCGATAACTGAAAAAAAAAAACCGCAAATTCGATCAACCTAATGCAAGCCAACAAGTCCTATTATACTCGTACATACTGATATACAATAATGTGTTTTCACTTCTGGGCTACTTATGCATGTGATTCCCTATAAAATTACAAATGTTGATGGAACCGTAAAATGCCAAGCACTATCTATACTCGTACATAGCCATACAAACCTACATATGTATGTACACGTATGTATATGTACGCAAATGCCTACAAGCGTACATACTTGCATATTCCCAGGAAACTAAGGCAAAATGAAGGGAAAAAGTCAACCATTTGAGGCAACAATTTGCGTGGTGAGATCGTTTTGATCACACTTCATAAAATTAAAAGTAATTTTCATATGCTTACTGCCACATATGTACTCACATATGTACATAAGTGTACATACATATACTCAAAATATACGAGTTGCAGTTTTGTTTTGTAATTCCATAGCGAAATAGCGGCAATATGCTGGAAATTGTACTTCCTGTTTGAAGAATGAACTCTGGAGCGATTTTTCTGTTTTCCTCCTTTTTTTATTTGTTTATTTTCAACATCTCTTTGCTTTAAAAATTATACATATTATTAAAATAAGTACATAATTTTGACCAAAAAATGGCAAAACTTTTTATTTACTTAGCCCAAAAAAAAAAGGTGAACATAAAAAATTTTGTATTTAAAAAAAACGTCACACACACATATATTTAATTCAAAAATTAAACCCAACGCAATGCCAACAAAGCAGCGCCGAGTAATGCCATCGAGGAGCTAATGAATGCGGCGCCATCACGGGCAATTGGAATCTGAGTGCTGTTGTAGGCGAGGAAGTTGCAGCCAACACCTTCACAAATGAAACAGTTCCCATCATTCACGCAAAGCTTCTTAGCCTGAGCCGAGGAGAGACAACCGCGTTGGAATGATTCCGTTTTGTTCTTACCTATCGGAGAGTAAATAAAAAAAAAGAGTATTGAAAGTACTAACGATTCGAAGGAACAAAAAAAAATAACAATAACTCACCATCATTTCGCACGTAGCACCTATCACCCAATTTGTAGAGTGGACACACTGTGGGTCTGGCGTAGACATTGGTAGCACAATCGCTGGTCGAATTACCCGAGCATTGTAGACACTGAGCGCGACTCAATGGGAAGAGGCGACGATTGCAACCCTCCGCGAAGGAGCAAATCAAACATTCCAGCTCGTTGTGGCAGGCAGCGGCGGTGGCGTTGTCCAACTCGGAGGCGCAGCCGCGTATTGTATTGCCATCTGTAAGAAGGAACGGAAAGAAATCGTTAATTTTTGAAAGTATAAATGATGATCTTTTAGACATGTGGCATAGTGGTTTGCTTTTTTGACGTTGTTATTTGCTTTATACTCAGTTTGAACTCCGGGGCAACCTTTGCAAATAGTGAAAATTTTGGTAATAAAATAATGGTTCCATTCGAGTAACACAGCCGCGCGCTGCGTCCAATATTCCGTCGACAGAATCGCCCAACAAGGTCGATAGTTCGGGTAGATAATGCACAATCTAAGAGACGCCATACAGTGCCCACCGAAGACGTAATTTCTGGTGTCGCGTAGAGTATCGAAGAAGGCACGACTGAGTGATGTGTCCGTCCACTTTAGGGATGATATTGTGGAAGGATCATGATTTTCGGAGTTCCAACAATGAATGGAAGTACCCCAATGCCCCCGATCAGGGAGCCATAGCCATCTTTAAGGACGTCTCAAAGCTCAATGGAAAAATGGGCTGCGGAATCTACTCTCAATTACTATGAGCATGAAACTACCAAGCCACTTCATGCCTCTTTGCAGTTATGGAAACCGCCGAACGGCCGTCCAAATCTATCTATTAAATCGACTTGCCATCAGATCTCTACAATGTAACAGTATAATATACAAAGTTGCTACAAAAAGTAGAAGCAATCTGACTCGACTAAATACAACTCTGCCGTGCTCTGGGTACCTGGAAACAGTGGCACCCTGGGCAATTGTATGGCGGACAAACTATCGAGAGTACAATAAAACATGGGCACGATACAGGTATGCCTTTGTCAACGGCAAAGTATAAACTGGCCTTAACCAAAGAAGCAGTCTCAAGATGGCTAAATGAGACCACGTGTAACTTGACCAGATATCTATGTCTAAAATTGGACGCTTAAAAAATCCAAACATCTTATCCTTCCAGACCATTGCCTCATTATCATAGCGACTGATATAATAACAGGCCACTGTTTAATGGGGATTCAGCGGAAAAGAATAGGCTATCTTTCTAATGATTTCTGCCGCAGCTGTAAGAACGAAGCAGAGAGAGGGGTCTACTGAATACTACCTCTGTCACTGCACAGCCTTGATATTCGCGCGACCGTTTCCTCGCAAACACTTCCTTTACTGTGTCTCGCTGAGCTAACCACAGAGAATATTGGAAATCTCGTTGCTGTTATAAGGCACACGAAGTGGTTCGAATATTTAAGAAGCCGAAGATAGGAGCCTCACAGCGGTAACACAATGGATCTATTGACCTAAGTGCGCTGGTAATGACCACAAGAGGCATCAACTCAACGCAACTCTACATCCTCCAAAACTCACTCTTTGTTGTGCTCTATGCTCAAAAAGAATCATCATTGGTCGATTATTTTTCAAAGTTGGAGCCATAGAGCTATAGAGCCATGATTGAGGTGATGAGGACAATCAAGTCGGCGTTATATGCCACACAGTCAACGAAACAATCAATTTCTCAACGGAAACTCTGGTGGCCGCATTATCTCTCGTTGTGGGTCAGTAGCGAGCTCTCCAAGATCTTACGATTTAACTTCGCTGGACCATTTTTTGTGAGGTTATGGTCAAGTCGCTTGTTCAAGCAGTTCAGCTCGAGATGCTTAACGCCTTGGAGGAGACTATTCGACGCGTTATTGCTGACATACGGTCCCAATTGTTGAAAAAAGTGGTGGAAAATTTAATTTCTTAACGGAAATTTATTCGAACTTGCCGTGGCTGGCATTTTTAAATGAAATGGCAAACTTTAATCTTTATAATAAAGATAAATTCTTAGCCATAACAATAAATGTCCAAAATAATTCTGAAAATAACACCCTTTATAATATTGAAACTTACTAAAAACTCGTGTATAGCAAACGGAGGTATTCACATTGCACGATTTGGCTAGATAATTCTCAGGATCTGTGGCACATTTGGAGTCGTTAGCGGAGGTACATTGTACGCAGGCATCTGAAAAGGCGAGAAAAGTTATATATAAAAATTATTACCATCCACAATATTTAATAAAATATGTTTAATATCGTTAGATAACGATTATTGATAGTAAGTTATCGATTAATTGTCACAAGAATATGAAGCTTTGTTGCACAATCAGATTAAATTTTACTGCGAAATATGTACATAAATTTATGCTTAATCGAAAGTCAATAGTGAGTTTCAATGACATGTGTATGTATATGTATGTATGTATGTAAATAACTATTTGTCAGTTTCATAGATATTATATTAGCCGGCGGTGACCTAATCGCTTATTTAAACAAATACTTTGCACTTTGTTATTTACATTTGTACATATGTACAATATGTACACTTGGTGGCGATAACTGTGGTCTTATCTTGGTTTACCTACTATTTATTCACCTGGCTACAATCAAACACATTTATACATACGTATACATATGTATGTTTGTATGTATATATGAGCATAAAAATAGCAACATTATTCAAGCTTATTTATGTCAGCAGACGAAAAAGGGATTGGAAAAGTTTAAACGATTTACAATATTTTCATAAAGGCAAAATGCTTCAAGGTGTGGCCTGTGGTCAGAACTGTTTTAGGTTAAGAGAACGTTTTGTTAAATTTTGTTAAAAACAAGAAATAAGAAATCTTTATACCTTTTATGGCCATAACAAATTTATGGTTTTTTATTTTGGGCTTAAATATAAATTCTAATGCGAGGTGTAACAATTAAGTAATGAGACTGATTCCATGAAAACCGTATATATCAAAATTATTCTACAACTCTGCCATCCCTTTCAAAGTAGTCCGCTTGAGCAGCTATACAACGACTCCAGCGCGTTTTCCATGCTTCGTAACGTTTCTGGAACGCTTCGACTGGGATGTCCGCGAGTACTCTCATCACGACCGCCTGTATGTCCTCAGTCGACTAAAAAAAAATTCCTTAGACCACCGATCTTTTTCCAGGGATTAAAAAAAAGTCACAGGGTGACATATCGGGCGAATAGGGTGCTTGTTGCAACACAGCGATCCCTTTAGTGGCCAAATACTGGCACACGCTGAAGGCGGTGTGGCAGGGCGCGTTGTCGTGCTGAAGGAAGCAGTTACAAGTGATGTCTGGGCGCACCCTGTTGGCTTGTTTTCGCAATTTTTCCGGTACTTGGCGATATTAGACTTGATTTACGGTTTGCCCCTGGGGAAAGAAATTCTTGGTCGACGATTCCACGGCTATCAAAGACCTCGATTGGTCTCCAGCTCCGCGCCTCATCTTTCACGCTCCTCCTTAGACTCTTTATGCCATCGAAACACCTGGGCACGACGAAGAGCACCACCACCATGCACTCTTACAATTTTAGCGTACGTTTCCGAAGCTGTTTCGCCCAATTTGACGCAAAATTTTATCGCGACGCGTTGCTCTTGATTTCGTTTTTTCATTTTCGAGACGAGCACCACGAGCACACGTTTACTTAACACGATACAGCAGGCGAACTAAACAAGCTAGAGCGATGGCAAATATATCAATGGCGAGGAGAAGGATGCCGGGAGGAGGGAAAGGGAATTTCAAGATCGCAGGGCTACCACAATTGCGGCAATATAATCAGTATCATTACTTTTTTGTCCTTCCTCGTATCTAAACAAATCCTTTACATGGTGACTATATGATATAACTTAACAAACTCAACTGCTCATTCTGACTCGATCGATATAAATTTTAATGAGTCCATATCTTCTGATATATTCGTTATTTCGAACCAAAGTTAGTAAACCATTTCAGGGTTTTCAGATGGATTTGGCAGCTCTAGATGAGACTGTGAATTGTCTCAGTTCAATGTTGCTCTCGAAAAATTGTATTCATATATTTTCGAATAGCCAGGTATCATTACAGAGCACTGGAATTTGTAGAAGTGAAAGCTAAAACCGTTAAGAATTGCCAACCTGTTGGCTTCAAGCCGGGTATTTGTGCTTGAACGCAACAAAAATTATCAGGCAATGAGATAGGGAACGAGCTTCTAAAGAAGTGCACATCTCTTCCATTTTCGTAGATAGCACTTCACTTGTAAACTCCTCATAGGAGATTTCTTCATTAAAGAAGCGAGCTCAAGATGGAGAAATCTCAATGCATGTAGCGTGTGGCCAGGACAATGTGGTCGGCATGGTTTAAAAGAGTGGCACGTAACTTAGTCGTATCTACAGTTACACGTCTTTTTGCAGTGCAGATTCTATTTGACCAGCGCGTGGAGAGGTTATACGTATCCTCAGTGGTATCACAATGGGTCCGTTTGGTGCCCTAAGTAAACTGATGCCCGGCAACCATTTAAATCTACCTACCTGCCGTAATGGGTGGCACTGGGTTATAATTCTACTTTAAGACTATGTTCACATGTTGTATATAAATATTTAATATATATAAGGGACACGCAAGTTAGCTGCCTCGTTAGCCGGCGTCAAATCCAACTAAGGTTAGAGCTTAAAATTCAATTTGTCTATTGGCTTTATTGCTATTTGCTATGTTAAGTAAGAGATAAGCAATCTGCAAAAATATATTTGTATGTACAATTTATATACCATAAGTCAAGGGCGGATCAAACTAGCGAAAAAAGTGATATAAGAGCTCAAGCAAATATGAGATCTTTGTGGAAAAGCTTACAAATTAATGCAGTGTTGCAGTCAAATAAGCAACGTTTTCAAGGTGAGAAAAGTTATTTTCCTTTTATTTTATTATTTTTATTTTATTTTTTGTTTAATTTTTTATATTTTATTTTCATTTTTTTTTATTTTCAACTAATAGCACATAGAAAATATTTCACGATTCGTTTAAAGCAATAAAAATGTGAACGATTTTCATATAAAAATCTATTATTAAAAATTCAACAGTTTCTACTTCCAAACAATGCTCTTCACTCGTTTAGTGTAATTCCCCGGTAAGGAATTAAATTTGATTTTAGGTTAAGTTAGGTTAGGGTGGGTGTCGTTCTAACGCAACGATTATACTTCGGTTGGAATTATACCTATAGTATTTGCCACAAATGCTTGATCGCTAAATAGCGAAGCATCCGACTATTTCGAATCTGCGGCCGGAGTAGCCGAGTGGTTAGCATTGCGTAGGTTCAAATCCCCGTGCGACCAACATCCAAAAGTTATAGAAAATTAATTTAAATAAAAAATTAAGTTAAATTTTCTAATTGCGGTCGCCCCTCGGCATGTACACCCCACGGAATGTATTTCTGACATGAAATTTAAAGCTTCTCATCAAAAAACCATCAGCCGTTCGGAGGTCCCTCCATTTGTTAAAAAATCTCAAGTAGGAAAACCACAAATTGAAGGAGGAGCTCGGCCAAAAATCCTTCCCCTCATTATTTATCATCAGCATCTCATATAAGCAGCTGCCTGTCATACTATCAGACAGTCGTCAGTCAGATCTCCTTATATTGTTTTCTTAGGGTTTTATTGCACTTTCTTCAAAAGAATTCGCGTCGAAATTGGTAGCCAAATTTTTAAAATTACTATACACCCTAATGCACATACATATATATATATATATAAATATTTAACTCAAATTAGTCTGCAGCTAAATACATATATGTGTGTTTTACTAGCATTGAACATTGTACACATAGAATCGACATAAAAATCAAAAGATAAGATTAACGCATATTTTTTCTTTATTACTTTGGAAACTTTTGGTTATATCATATTTTTTACTTAAAACAAGGATTTTATTATTATAATTATTTTTTTTTTCAATGCATTACTCGCATAATTCCACATTAAATAATTGTTTATCGTAATTTGCTCTTCTTCTTCGCTCTCTTTAACGTTTTTTAAACATTTTTTGCATTCAAAATTTATTAATTAATTTCTGTGTTTTTTTTTTTTAATTTATAATTTTTTTTATTTTATTGATTTCGTAATTTTAATGAAATTTACCCGCATGCACGTATGCCAAATAGACCACAGCCACCAACACCAACATACAATAGGACTTCATTGTTTTAAAAAAAAAACTATTATATATATATATTTTTTACACTAAACAAAAAAAAAATTATGCGCCGCCAAATGCTTGTTTATTCGTTAAACTAAAATCGTTGACTAAAACTCAGGCAGCAGGCGAAATAGTTATCACACCTGCTAATAACTGTACATTTCCATCTTATCAGTTCAGTTTTGAAATGATAAGAAAATGTTGTATACTTTTCAGTTTAGATAATTCACAACTGTTTAATATGTACGTATATATGCACATACGTATGTATGTATGTACATATTGTATGTTAGCCCAATTTGATTTGTTTGGTTTTCTATTTCGTATTTGTATAGAATTTGCTTATTAGCTAGAATTCGATAACTATGGCGCAGACAAACGTCATTCGATATGAGGGTCTTCGGGTATATACGAGGTGTGTTTAAAAAGTATCGCGAATTTTTGATTTTCTCGGGTTACGTATAATCGAATTTCGATTTTTTTGTGGCGTTATGTTGGTACTCATGTCTGTCACTTATGCAAAAAAAAAAAACCATTTTGAATGTTCACTTAATTGTTGACAAAAAAAAAAAATGGATCAAAGAACCTATATAAAATTTTGTGTGAAAAACGAAATTAAGTGCACGGATGCATTCCGAATGTTGACTGTGGCATAAGTAGAAGCTACCTTGGACCGAAACAACGTTTATCGGTGGTACAAAATGTTCTCAGAAGGCCGAGAAGATGTGAACGACGAAGAGCGTGCCGGACGCCCGAGCACTTCAACAACAGACGAAAAAATTAAATGCAGGGGCGTGGTGCATCATGAGTTCTTGCCACAGGGTAGAACGGTCATTTCCGCGAAGCAATCCGCCAGAAACGCCCGGATTTGTGGAAGAAAACAAATTGGCCTTTGCACCACGATAACGCCCCTGCTCACACATCGTTGCTTGTGCGCGACTTTTTGGCCAAAACCAACACACTAATGATGCCGCAGCCATCGTATTCCCCAGATCTGGTCCCCTATGAATTTTTCTTGTTCCTAAGCTGAAGAGGCCCATTAAAGGACGACGTTACGCTACGATTGACGAGATAAAGACGGCATCGAAGGAGGAACTGAACAAGATAAAAAAAATGATTTTTTGAAGTGCTTCGAAGATTGGAAAACCCGTTGGCACAAGTGTTTAATATCTCATAGGGATTACTTTGAAGGGGGCAAAATAGATATTCACATAACACACCTCGTATATATATATATACATGCGTAAGTGTACACATACTTACATCCATGATACAAAAAAACAAGGTAGTTTCCCTAAAAAAAAATTTGTCAAAAGTATTAACCACCGGACATAAAAAGATTTTTTTTTGGCTTTTGCTTTATTTTTTTGCTACTAATTTCGTTTTTAAAATTAATTTTCAACAGACCAAAAAAAAAAAATTTGTACTTTGAAATGAAAGAAAGAAGAAGCAATCATATGATGTGAGAACTTCACCTATTCACCTATTCAAAAGAATTCGCGTTGGCATAGTACACTGCTGGTCTTAGGTTAGACGCACCATCGTCTTTTTTTTTTTTTGAATAAAATCGATTATTTATTATCATGTTTGTTCTAATTGTCCAAAATGCTTTTCTTATCAAAGTTCGAATCTTGTTCGAAAAAAAAATGCGCTCAGCTGGTTGATATGCGAAAAAATAACTGTACATTCGAAGATTCTATAGCAACCACACGTATTTTCAGTTGGTCATTGCATTAGACGCAGCACATAAATTTCTTCGTATTGCGTGGTGAAACTTTCGTATTGAAAAAATATCAAAAATATACAAGTAAACTGTTTTCCTACATTTGAAGAAAAAGTGGGAAAATCTGCTGTTATGGGCTCATTGGAACGTCAAAAAGTAGACTTTCTTCACTCGCAAGGACTGTCCAATCGGAACATTGCCAAACAAATAAATCGCAGCTCCAGAACTGTTGACAGATATTTGAAGGATCCAGAGGCATATGGAAATAAAAATCGAAGAAATCGAATTCGAGTAAATCTGCTGCTAATATCAAGGAATTGGCCGGAGTAAAAGCAAGCCTTTCAACTGTTCAGAGTACGATCAGAAATGCAGAACACCTGAAGTGTTTAAAAATCAAGAAAAAGCCCAATTTGAATGCAATACGCAAGGAAAAGCGGTTTCACATGACGTGGACTGTCCAATCTGACACTCAACTAAATAATTGGCGTTCAATTGTCTTTACTGGTGAAAAACGTTTTAATTTAGATGGCCCTGATGGAAAGATGAGCTATATTTAAATCGCCACCACAGCCGGGAACGGGGAAATAATGGTGTGGTCTGCTTTCAAGTTTTATGGAACAATTGACTTGATTTTTATCGATCAAAAGATGAACGGCGATCGCCTCAAAACATTGTTGGAGTCCGTATTTTCAAAATAATAAAACTCTTTGGACCGATTCCTTGGACTTTTCAACCAGACAATGCTCATATTCATAACTCTCGAGTAGTAAAGTCTTTTATTTCTAGTAAAAATGTGAATATCATGACCTGGCCACCATATGCTTCAGATCTTAAAGTAATTGAAAATGTTGCAGCTATTAAACCTGCTTGGAGCGAGATTTCCTTGGGCTACATAGATTCCTTGTATCATCCTATGAAGGGCCGGAGGCAGTACTAAGATAGATAGCAGTCTTTAAGATAGTTTCACTCTGAAATTTTTGACACTTAACGTGTTTGCTCAGAAATGTTTGATGTTACCACTTATAAAATTATCAACTTGGAGATTTTTTAATTATTTTTTGGGTTATCTTCCAAGCAGATGCTACGGTATTGAATACCCGCATAGATCTATTAAAATATTTGTTTCAAGAAATTCTTATGGCTGCAGGAGTAAGAAAAGTTGCTTTTTATTACAAATAAATGCTCAAAAGTCGAAATTTTTTACTTTTTTCGAAACGTGATGTAGGCATTCCTCTTTCCTCAGCTAAGTATTTGTTAAGACTAACCTGCACCAGAAGGGCCAACAACAGAAGAGAGAGTGGAACCACGTGCAATTGATGGTAGTGAACAGAACTAAGCTATTACTCTTTCTAAAAAGGACCTGCATAAGCATAACAACCGGCGTATCAACCGGACGCTGTGTTGTGGGGAGTCTTGGTAGATGGATGAGATTTTATTGATTTTTCGGAGATTTCTTCTTCGATTGCTAGATAGTAGAGCAATCATCTGTAGGCATCTTTAATCTCCTGAATTTCGTAAAATAAATCAAGTGGTTCGAGCATCACAGAGTGAGAGGAATCCTCTCCACAGCATCAACAACGAGCAATCAATATAATTAGCGGTTAGAGCGAATTAAAAAGTGTTTGGAAATTTAATCGACTTAAGGGAATTTTAGTGTAATTAAGAGATTTTTATAATGAACTTGCACTGCTCTAAAAAACCAACAATTAAGAAAACAATATCCTGTCTGTCTTCCTTAAAACATCTCTAAAACCTGTGAGACGAGCCAAATCCAGTTAACTCCTCATCTTCTTGAATTCGATTTACATTTTAGTGGTTGAATCTCTTCCCTTTCCGATACTTTCTCACAATCTCGATGAAATTCTTTATAAGGGATAGCAAAATAAAAAATCACGTGATTTTATCTCACAGCTATTTGACATTAAACGTGTTTCGGCTTTTTCGTGCCACCCTCTTCTCTAGAAAAAAACTACTATTTTTAAATAAAAAATATCAGGAAAATTATCACATTTCTTTAAATGCTCAAATATTCAAAAATCACGTATTTTCACCCACCAAAATTTTAAGCGACTTCAAGAAGATGAGAAGCTGGCTGGATTTTTATATTAACGTTTGAATTAAAAATAAGGGTTTAGAGATGTTTTAGAGAAATTTTGTGAGCAAATAGGATATTGTTTTAATAATAGTTGATTTTTTAAAGCTGTGCAAACTCTTTATAAAAATCTTATAATTATGCTTGAAGTCAATTAAATTTCCAAACATTTTTTAATTCAAACTAACCGCCAAATATATTGATATTAGTCGTACAACTGTTTCGATCACGCAACCCGGATCTCTTGATAATACCTATGTCGGTTCTACGAAGAAGATGTTTCTCACCGTTATAGATGCTCAAGCCAGTTGGTGTATTCTACGATGTTAAGGAGATTAATGATGCCTAGAAATGTAAGCGATGCCAAGTAGTCGAAGAAGAAATTTTCGAGATATTGATATCGGACCGCAGAGTTAACCGGGGTTATGACTATCCCTATCCGGTTAGCTCATCGACCCCCAAACCACGGATTTTTGGGAAAATCTAAAAACCTAAGATTTGAAGTGAAAAAATGAAAAATGGCAAATCTTTCCATATTATTTATCTATGGATTTGCTTTTGCCGCCTGTGAAAAACGCTTTGAAACAAATATTTTAACAGATCCATACGCGTATTCAATATTATGGCATCTGCTTAAAAAATAACACCAAAATAATTAAAAAATATCCAAGCTGAACAATTTTTAAGTGGCAAGATCAAACATTTCTGAGCCAAAACATTTAGTGTTAAAGATTTCAAAGTGAAACTACCTTATAGAATTTTTTTATCATGGTATTTTCTAAAATCTAATAAAAAAAAAATTATTTTCTTTTTTTTTAGCATTTTTTTTATAAAAAAAAATATATGAAATTTTTTTAAAGTTGTAATATCTTGAAGTTCAAATGAAAATAAGATATACAGGCCTATTCTGTCGAGGTAACAGAAGTTACCTAGGTATTAAAATTTACCATTCAGTAAATTTAGTTACTATTTCGTATTCTGAGCTCACTGTCACTCTGTAAAATTTGTTACCAGCGAAATAGAAGATAACAAAAATATCTGCTATTTGATTTTGTGTTTTAAGTTTGAGAAAAAATAAAAAACCAAAATGGGTTGGCATATTTTAGGCCTGGAATTCATTGAAGATGAAGAAAGAAGTGCAAAAAGTCGTATTTAAAGAAGTTTTCGAGACAAATTTTTTTCCTTTAATTTGTAAGATAACCTTTTCATTCAGCTTTTTTTTGTTATCCAGGCATATGTTTCATAATTAGGTTTAAATATTTATGATTTAATAAACAAATTAATAAAACTTTTTAAATTTTTTTGGGCACCATCTTCCATTTCGATGTGAATATTTTTCTTTTTTACTACACCAACTGGCAAATGTAATTTGACATGGACAACAAAAAGCAGTGCTGCCAAACTTTTTTCAAACATTGTAACCAGTTCGCCAGAATACCAAATTCAATTTCGGGTGTTAAAGAAAAGAAACAAAATTTACTTTACCGGTAACAGTGAGAATAGGCCTGATAATATCAAAAAACGTTTTTCTGTCAAATTTATATTGAGGGAAACTGCATTCCTTTTTTTGAATCATGCCTAAATCTACACATATTTTAGGTAGTTTAAGTTTTTCGAAATGCCTTTTGAAAGCATAGAAAATTTTAATATTTTAAGAACACTTTTTTGCAGCAAAATGATATATTCTGTTAACTTTTCAACAAAATTCATTTTCAAAAAAAAGATTTTTTTCCAAAATTATAATTTTTAAATAAAGAAAAAAATATATATTTACATTATTATATCTTTTTTAATCAACAGCCTTATTGCCTGTTTTGAGGATTTAATTTGTTGTTATTCGTATTCATGTATATTACTTTCATTAAACTTTAATTATTTATTTTTTTAGTTATTAAGTGTTTCAAAAAATATTTTGAAAGTATAATTAATTAAATTAATTTTTTTACCTTCAGTTGCATGTACACATATACAAACAAACAAAAAGTCAAAGAAAAAAATCATGACTTTTTAGTTCCGATTTGTTTTTTACATACATACATATATGTATCTACACTTGTCAATCGTTTGGCACTTGTTAATCACCATTTGTCATCCATCAATACTTAGAAATAATAAAAAGAGAATAAATGTTTTAAATGCCTCATCACTTGTGTGAAAGTAAACTATGAAATATTTGATATTTATCTAATCAGATATGAATATATGCATAAATACACACTAAATGTATATATGTATGTACATAAGTGTATATACATACATACATATTAAAAATTATTAATACAAAGCATTTTATTCATTTATGCAAAATTTTTACCTTTTGGTCGTTTATATATATATATATAGTACATGCTTATAAAAAAAGGTATATATATATATATATATACATACACACTTATGTATATGTCACAACAACCAAAGTCATATCGTTGACCACATGTTCAAGACGTTGTAGGAATATCATTGCTGAAAAGCCCAAATACCAATGGAAAAAGGTGCTTGTCAATGAAAAACTCCTCCATTCATGACCTTAAAACTTTATTTCTAGGGATGCACAGGAACCTAGTTGTCACATTTAAGTGCTGCACAGTAAATCAGATCGATAGTTATAAAAAAGTATTGAGAACTCAGTGGTATATCGTCTAAACCACAGAAAGTATATCCACATACCAACCAAAAATTGTCTCGATTCCCTTCTAAGCGAATTACATCACTGACTTGTAGTTTTTATTGTTGCTGTTTTTTTTATTATTATTGTTGTAGCGCCTCACTAGCCGCGCCTAGGGACAGGCGGTTCTGTCCAGCGGTTGTTGTACGTATTACTGCATAGTATTCTTTAGATCTAGTACCACCTGCTGTTCTTGTTGTATCGGTTCGTTAATCCCGCTTAGGTAGCGGTCTGATCAATCTAAGTCGCCGAGTTCGTCTAGTGGGAGGTCCAGGAAACGTGTTGTTTCGACGGGATTGGGCCAGCGTGAGAAGGGGGGCTCAGATGAGTCAGTTTAAGGGGGCACTCTCCACGGAGACTCTCCACATGCCGGGCATACGTTGGATATCCTGAGATCGAGTAGGAGTTTAACCTGCTGTAGTATCCAGACCTAAGTTGTGCCAAGGTCACGCGGGTCTCTCGAGGCAGCTCGAGCTCATTGTCTGCGATAGGTGGTGGTTTATCTCTGAATACGTCATTCACGAGAAGGTAGTATTTGAAGTGTCAACTGGTGAATGGAGTTCAGCGCCTGTCTGTAGGTCATCTTTTCCAGCGGTTGTTGTACGTATTGCTGGATGGTGTTTTTCAAGTCGAGTACTCCCTTTGTGATGTGCCTTTTGATGGTGATTCAGCTTGGATATGATGCCTATTGGGGTGCTTGCAAAGCTAATGAAGGAAAAGGCAGATGCTTCACTGTGATGCTCAGGCGACTTTTGAAGGTTTCCTATCGCGGTACTATGGGCGGTGTTTTGGCAAGCTCTTAGCTTCTTCAACTGCGTCTCGTTCGCCCCCGGTGAATTTTTTTTAAAGACAGCCCGGCTCGGCCGTTGCCAGCAAGGTTTTTTTGATTTTAACCCAGGTACTGACGAATAGCGCTTTGAATATTTAGTTGTGGTTCAACTCACCGGAGTTATCCGACCAAGGGCTGTCACCCTCACTGATCAAACGTGTGCCTAAGAGGGGTTAGCGAACTACTACTACAACAACAACAACAACCCTTGCGATGATCTAATCCGCTGAGGTCAACAGGAAACATCACTGCCTTCGATTGTATTGCCGAATTGGAAAGAACAGCTTCTTATTAATATAACATAGTCGTTATTTTAATTTTTTTAATTGTTAGTTATTTTGTTTTTTAAAATAAATTATCATAATATCGATTCTGTTTTACTTTTGTCTTTACTCTCCTATGAACTTTTATTTTGTATGCTATTTTTTTAAGTAGTAACCGATTTAAAAAAGAAATTGTTTAGCTTTCCCTTTCCGACGTTACCTTTCATATGTCATTTCCGCTCAATAACGGAACAAGCACTTCCCAATATCCACAATCCACAATCCACAAAAAGACATTTGCGATCAGCTGCTGGCAATGATTTGTTTACATGTTGAAAAAATTGACAAATGACAGCCGATTCAGCTGTTCACTATTTTTGCTAACCAACAATTTTAACATAGATTAACACAAATAATCATATAATGACCATTTTACTGTGCATAAGTGATTTATCAAAACATAAAGAATTCAAAGAAATCGAAAGTAATAATAACGTTAAAACACTGCCAAGAAAACAATTTTGGGAACGAGCTATAACTTTAAGAACTCAAAACGAACCCACAGTAATCGATGCAGCTGGCAAAGATAAGACGCGACGTACACTGCGCCGTTTAATGATCGAAATAGATGGTATCAATGCCTTCTATCTGGTGCGTGAGTTGCAGCAGTTTACACAATTTCGTTTGTTGTTAAGCACGAATCCTGCTTTACGTGGTGTTGATGTACTTTGGTTACAACTGAAACAACCAAACAAAGAAGTAATCGACTATAAATGGTAAGACATCGTACACACTTCCAAACGGCATGAATGACTTTATTTTTAATAGGAATCGCATGCTAGCGCATTCATTATGGGAACGTATTGAAGTGGAGTATCTAATGTCTTGGCTATCTACGCTGGGTGGTGGTTACTCTGCACTGGGCGAGCATTTTACCAAATGCGTATGTTTTCAATATATATAAATATGTTTATATACAATTATTATAAGTAGTCTTCATAACATAGGCGGATATTGCTGGAAAAATATCATTGCGTCAACTGGATATCGGGCTACGACTTGGTGATCCATTCCTACAAGCACGCTGCAAGTTGTATTATAGCATCTCATTGATACAAACTGGTCAACTAAGACAAGCTAAATATATCATACGGGAACAATATAAATTCGCTAGAAAACAGAAGGAAGTTGATGGACGTTTGGTTAAAATGTGTCAAGGCATTTGGTTGCGTTTACAATATGAGTACTTTTTGCGTTTACGAAGTAAACAGAGCGCATCGAATTTTGTTGGTTTTGTATGATAATGACTTTGTTTCTTCTTTGTTGTCTATTGAAAATTATTTTCCACATTGTGTTTTTATATGAAAACCACAGCATAGAGATCAAAGTTCAATATGTATTGAAATTTGCGCAAATGAACATGTATGTATGATAAAGTATTTTATAAATATGTTTTAATTTGTTGGAATGCAACGAGTGTGAGAAATAAACCGTTACGAATTGATGCATATTACTTTAAACATAATTAATGTTAGATTAACTGTCGCTTGTTGGGTAAGGTGACAATAAATCCGAACAAGTCCATTGAAATGACTCTAGTGGGTGGTGAAACGTTCATAAATCATTGCTTGGCCAAAGCCTGCAAAGCAATATTTCTAGTAGCAATTTTTTTTTTTATGGAGACAAAGTTGTTTTTGTGTGTTTGGTTTTTTTTTTTCATTTTTATTTTAAACAAGTTATTTATTTTGCATTATTTGAAGATTGTACATAAACTATTCATTATATATTTATGTGTATATGTATATAGTATTTGTATGCATGTATAAAAGTATTACGTAGTTATTTCAGGTTTATGTAGATTTAGCTAAGGTACCCATTGGGTCCCAAGCGGGAAGCACAATTGCTTCCATATCGAAAACTTTCAGAATTTCAGGCGGTACGAATGATTTGTCGATTACAACTTCAAAACCGAATTCCTTAAACCATTCGGCGGTCATAACCAGATAACCTTTTTCACCACGATCTTCACCCCAAGAATTCTCTACGCGTAATTTCTTTACATCACCATTTTCCTAAAAAAAAAAAATAGAAAAAAAGGCAAAGATTTAATAAAATCGCTTTAGATATTATTTTCAATCTCCTTTCTCTTACATCAACAGATACTGCTGTAAATAACATGGCATGTGTCATTGCAGATTCGCCAAAAATTAAACGATCCGCCTTCGACAAAGGCGTTTGAATGTCAACATCAAAAACTAACTTGAAATCATGTCTGCAAAGATGGAAAGCGCATTGATTAGTAGATTGTAAATCCATCTTATTTAAATATTCAAATGAAACTTCGATACTAACACACTCAAATCTTCAATGCCTTGCTTTGATGCAAAGCGTTTACTGACTTCACAACCAAACCAAACAGCTTCACCGGCCTTCAAACTTTCAGCGACCAGCTGCAGCAATTTCTCAACCGGTTGATTATTGTAAAGCACTGGGCGGCCACCCACCACATTACCAAGACAATCGACTGTGTATGTTTGGTCATAAAAACTGGATGGGCGTGGATCATTAACTAAGCAAACCTGTCAATCAAAGAAAAAATTATATTCTATTATAAATTTTCAAAGCTCATTTAACAGCATCGTAGCAATTACCTTATCTTCAACATTGAATACAGGTTTTACATAATTTTCATAGAATTCCAATGGTGTTACCGGTCCAATTGATTTATAAGCTTTGGATTTATCATAATACTCCCATGTGAAACGTTCATTCGGAATGCCTAAGCAGATGCCAACTATCTTATAGATACTGCCCATCATTTCATCAATCTTTTGCGAGACTTCTTCATCGGTAGGTTCTTTGGCCAAAAGATCACGTAAGACTTTGGCATATTCACGGAGCTATGGTGGTATAAATAACACGTTAATTCAATTATTTTCCACCCACAAACAGTTTACGTCATCAATTACCTTGCTCTTCAATATGGCATTCATGCGCATGCTCGCCTCACAACTGTAAGTCTCTGGGAAACATTTCTTTGGCATTAAACCATGTTTGGTTATTAAATTAACTAACATATCCCACTGGCCACCATCCGAAGTTGGGTCCTTTGAAAGTTAAATATTATTTCATTATTTGCAATAAATAAAATTTCATATTTGTCAAATTACATTCAATAAAAATGACACCAAACGTCCGTCCACCACTTCATTGCGCCTCGCCGTCTTTACAATATTATTGAGGAAATAATTGCAACGCTCGATTTTATCCCAATAGAATAGATAGCCCTGAGAAAACTCAAATTCATCGATATTTAAACTCTTCATAAATGGCAGGCGTATGCAGTTCAGCGCGGCAAAAAGCCAACAACGGCCGGAACTTTTTTGATTAGTAACGGGTTTGCCTTCAGTCTCCACCTGTAAATGAAAATTGTAAAAAAAAAGATATAGAAATTTTTTTTTTTTAATATTATAAAAAAACACTTACCTTGTAGGTAAAAACATGATTGGTATTCTCTAGTGATTTACGCGACAGGCACACATCAAATGGATCCACACGCGAGCAGACATTCTGTGCAAGAATGTTCTTCGGTTCGCTGTAGAAGTCCTTACGCCATTTGTCCAGTTTCTGCTGCGTAATCGCATTTGGATTGCTTGTAGTGGTGGTGTTGGCTGGAAATAGAGTTGCGGCGTTTGAGTAATTTACATTACGAGCGCCGAATATATGATATTTGTACGAGTATGTAAAAACGGTGGGTAAACAACGGTTGGAAAGTTTTTGACGGCGTATCGCGGAGGTAAAACGTAGTGCCACTAAATGGTCGATGGGTCGCCACCAAACGCACGACGAACGCATATACACATGTATGTAGATGCCAAACCACAAATTTGGATGGCAAACACATTTGCGTGCATGCACATATAGGCAATGCAATAGTTTTTTTTTTTTTTGTGATAAAAATAAATCAAAAAAAAATATGTAAAATATTAAACATCTGATTGGCCTTGTTGTGAGTGGTAAGCAAAGAAGAATTCGAAAAAAGTGTGTGTATGTGTGTGGAATGGAGTAAAACATATAGAATATCTGCCAGGGAAATGCATATTCAAATAGAAAATCTGCATAAATCGTATTAAAAATAGATATTTATATGCATTCGTATGTACAATATATATGTATGCAGATATTTGTTCTGCGGTTTGCACAATTCTGTAGACTATTTTATTCTCATTATATTTCGTTACTACTACATATAATCCATGCAAATTTACGTTGGTGGCGTAGGTCAATAAACTTTATAAGCAACAACAAAAAAAGGTTGACACAAATAGTTTAATTTCATAATTCCAAGGTCATTTTTTTTTTTTTTTTTTGCACACAACACAACACATGTACATATTTTTTTTTTTTTTGCTGTACTGCCATTTATGTATTCAACATTGCTGTTTATGCCAAGTTGTTGTTGCTCAAAAAATTGACAACTCCTGAGGTTTGACATTATTTTTAATAGTAGCTGATCAAGCGAGGTCTTGTAGATATATACATACATACATATGTACTATATTATTGTTTTAAATAAAAATATTAGTGTTAGATGTTGTTGCTGTTCTAGCGGTTCACTAACCCCGCTTAGGCACAGCTTTGATAAATCTAAATCGCCGAGGTCATCTATTAGGAGATCCAGGAAACGAGCTGTTTCGACGGGGTTGGACCAAAGGGAGAGGGGGGTTAGATGAGTTGGTTTGAGAGGACATGTGAAGACGTGGTTAGTGTCATGCGGAGACTCTCCACATGCAGGGCACACGTTGGGTATGCCGGGGTCTAGTCTGGATAAGTAGGAGTTTAACCTGCGGGTCTCTCGAGGCTGCTCGAGCTCGTGGTAGCAGCTCCAATTAGTGTTAGATGAAAGATTTGCCTGTCAGTCAGACATATTCATACTGTGTTGAAGGAAGAAATATACAATACTTAAATGTAAATATGTATGTAGACTTTATAGGCATATTCACATTAAAAATCGTACTGTTACGTAAAGGTTTTTACTGATTAGCTCATATATGTATATGTGAGTAGTATTGTACTAAACAGATTCTTTACTTCAGTAACACATATGTACACGTACATACATACATGCTCCACCGATAAAATAAATGTAGGCAGAGTAAACAAAACAAGTTATTATGTATATACAAACATACATATGTACATGTGCATGACACAGTATTGTTTATGAGAAAAAATTATATTTCTTTATGAACAATTGCATTTAATCTTATCTTGAGTGCATTTTGTATGCAACAATAAATGGATAAAGTATGTTGATATTTATTTTTAAACAGATAAATAGCATATATCTATGTACATATGTTTGTACATAGGTGCATATAGATTTAATTACCTTATTTTTATTTTTTAATTAAATTGTGTAGGTATACACACATTTGTAAAGGTTTAAGTCTTTATTTTTAGCAACAAAAGATTTTTAAATGAAAAAAGCATCACATTTAACAGTAACTTATACAAGTATTTGTTAGTAACTTTCGATATTTTAATTGGTAATAAAATAATAAATCAGCGTATGTATTAAAAAAGACTTATGACGGACATAAATATGGTTTCGAAAATCAATTTTAATAAATAAATAAAATACACAAACATACATACATATGTGTACAGACAGATGTGCAAATAAACACTTTTCAATAATGCAAGCTGAATTTTTGATTTACTTTGTGGGATGACATTATAATTATTAATTAGCATTACTCACAGTTATTGCAATTTTTACAGCAGAAATTAATTATTCCAGAAAAATATGCATTTGCTTTTACATAATACTTTTATACAATAGCAGACACCTACATTGAAAAAATACTAACACAGCTTTGCAGATTAACAGTGTCTCTTCCTCTAACACTTATAAAGGAAATCTTTTTTGCATAAATAAATTGCCAACGTTTGCAAAAAAGTAGCGATAAACAAGGCAGTAGTCGACAGAAGTGAAAAAACATATAAGAAATTAAATAAATAAATAAATTTAACAACGCCAAAGAGTGCGTACAGTAAATGGCAAGACAATTCCTAGCTAAAGCGTAACATTTGAAAGCTATGACGGGATGTAGGTACCTAAATCGGGGGTTTTTTTTTTTTAAGCGATAAGTACGCCATATTTTCTTTTATTTTTTTTTTTTATCAATAATATTACGAGTTTGACAAAATTATAAGGAAAAAATTGGTTTCAACCAAAATATGAAATAAAAACCAAGATCAAAATAAACAAAAAACGAGAAATCTTTTGAGCCATTCGTTGGCGGCAACAAGACCGCGACATATTGATTGTAAACACCAGCATCGAAAACTGCGTCCGAATTCTTTCCACCACCGCTGCCGGTAGAGTTTGAACATACTTCCATGCATACATATGTACATACTTGTTCACATGGTATATTATCTCAACCGAGTGCAACCGTTACAAATGAAAACCAGTTTTTTAATTTGCACGTCAACATCGGGAAAAAAAAAACATAGCAGAAAGAGGAAAAAATTACAAAAAATAAAAGCACGTACATACACACTTATGTATAGATAGATGTATTGCAAAGTCGGCCAGTGGAGTGCTGTTAAGCCGAGATCGTCGAGCAGCTTTATTGGAGGCAGTCAGTCACAGCAATACAAAATATAAAAACAAAAGTGAGTAAACAAAGGGTTTCGAAAACCCATGAAAGTGTTGTATGCATGCATATATACATAAATACATATGTATAAACATGAATGTGGTTGCACCCCAGCCATTTGGAAATGAAATTATGCGCATTGCCAACAAGCGGGAGGTGTGGCTGCTGAACAAAGAGCCAGTACAGGCAGCCAGTTGGTGATATTAGACTAGCTGAAATTGGCTCTTCATGATACACGTTACCAATACTATCAACATTTCTGCTGCTTGCCGTTGCCTTTGTCAGAGTCATCGTCTTGTTGGAAGTCATCTAAGCAAAGCAGCGTAGCCCAGCGCAGAACCAGAAGAAATTAGTAAATGTACACATGTACATACATATGAGAGTATCGGTGAAAAAATGAAAGGAAATACAGCGCAGCGTATTCAGCAAAACGAACACTTCGTCACTACGTTAAGATTTCGGAGAAATTTTACTTTCAATTTTTTTTTTTGCTACTTTCATTTTAAATGGATGCAACAATTTCTTTTTTTTATTTTTCAAAAGGACAAGATGCTCCATTGCTGTATTTCTTTTTACACGAGATTATGAATGTGTGTATATGATTTCATAATGCTATTAATTAATATAGCACACTTATTTACTTACACATTTTCCTTTTTCTTTTGTATTTGAATATGAAACTTTTAACTTAGTACAAGAAATGTTTTTATACGGTGAAGTAAATGCACTTTTTGCTAAATAATTTTCGGGCTAACACCAAACGGGGAATACAAATAAAAAGGAAATAAATTACTTTTACTTCCACGATAGCCAAGTCAACAACAAATCGAGCTGCGCGACCAAAAACGACACAACAACGGCTAAAGAAACTCCAAAATATATAGACTTTGACAGCGGTAGACGGACCGGTGTTGTCAGCTTTTGACATTTGCCCACAAAGGGAATTTTTTAATGAATTATTTATTTTTATTTTTGATAACAGTTTCAAACTTGAAACATAAACAATAAACGAAGTGAAATAGATAAATAAATTTTAGAGTAATTATAAAAATTAGAGTAATTATAAACAAAACATTATTGCACAAAAATTTACAAAACAATTCTGGCAACCTGATGAAAGTTCCGAATTGAAAGTCATTTAAAGTGCTGCCACAATTCAGTGAACGAAATTACTGCATTTTTTTTAATGATTTTAAAACCGCTGAAGCGATTTTGATATCATATCTACTCTCGGAGGGGTTGATGTTCCCTTCCCAATTTCACAATTCACAATTGGAAAATTTAGCATAATTTTTTGTTCAATTTTTGTTGGACGTATCAGGATTCGAACCCGAGCCTTCCGAATAATAGTACACAATGTTAACCAATCGGCTACCGCGGCCGTATTTTCATTTAGTGAAGTAAAATCATACATCAAATAATAATAATAAAATAAGTAAAGAATCTACAGCACTTCGAGCTGTTTGCATTAACAAATGTCACAAGTAGCAGGAGCAGGCAGGTACGACTTTTTCCTTGAGTTACATGACAGTTTGACTTTGACTTCTAAGACTTAAAGCAATTAAATTCAACGCTATGCGCGTTCAACATTAGTTGAATTTAAGAACAAATTATTTTCTTAATTTTTCAGCGAGTTTCATATAATTGAACCAGAAAATATTATATTAGGTCAAATTCAAATATTATATATCCTGATTTTTGTAGAGGAAAATGCTCAATGTGTCATAACTTTGAAGGAAAGGTTGGAGATGTCACGTATCGCGATAAGATTTTATACGTCGTCATCTGAAAAGTGTGTCTGACACTTTATTGGCAATCAAAAAGATTGAAAGCAGAATACAAATAGTTATACTCATAATCCTCAGTTGGCAGTTTTTTAAATGATGTGTCTTCAACTTGCTTGGTATGTTGACCAAGTCAGACGCTAAAGCTGAAAACTTTCACAATATAAAGTTGTATTAATACAAAGCTCCAGAAAAAGTTTTTATTCTTTGCTCAATTTATTATTCGGACCAACATCGAAAACACTTTGGAAATGAGTTTGGTGGATTTGGGGTTCAAGGGTGTTCGCACCTACTTCAGTGTCTTCGTTGGCATATTTGGCAGGTCTGATTTTATTGATAAATTACTGCACTTAACAAATGACTTGAATAAGTTTTACACAAGAAACTTATTTCACAGCATTTTCATCATTTAATCCAGAATTGTTTGGCAGTAATTTGCAAAATTTCAAGATATTTGTAGAAAAATAAAATAAGGTGGCTGCATTTAAAATTCGGAAGTGAGACAATAAAATAATGAGGAAGCAGTTCTTCGCTATTTGATAATTACGCCCAGGGTACCATTAATTACATATTCGGGCTAGACAAAAGTAAAAAAATATGTTATACCGATGTAGCAATTAATAAAAAAAAATTATTATCATTCAAGAAACGAAATAAGTTATTTTGTAATTTTTATGTGATTTTATTTTTGTTGAATTGATTATAGTTGGATTTGATTTAATTGTAAATTCAAATTCACACCAATGCAATGAAAAGATGTGACTTTCATCTTGATAAAAATGTCTTATTACCTAGTGGAATGGTTTAAACGTGAGCTTTCTAGTGGTTTTCAGCGAAAATTGGTTTTGGATGTGTTTCCGTATGACAGATTTTATATGGCGAAAACACTAGTTATTACGACAAAACCACTTGTTCACGGGAAAACGTGCATTCTATGCCGGTCTGAACATGGTATTAGTTGCCTAACTGCCTTCATAAAGGTAAATGTCACTAAAACAAAAGAGCTGCAATTTTTTAAGCGTAGAAAAAATCAGCAAACGTAAACATTTTTCTGTCCCAACTACATGTGATAAAATTAATAGTTCTAAGAGATATTGTCATCAATTATATTTGACGAGATTGTAAAGACGTTCGCAGAGAATGACTCTGCGTTTCGTCTGCATCGAGGTACGCCATAGCCTACGGTGCGCAAATGTTTTCCTCCAGTTCGATCACAGCCTCACGGAAACAGATTTCCTGAAAATTGTTGTAGACAACGATGCACTTACTTTCCGTGAATACTCCACAGCAACACGTGTGTCCCTTAGTAAATATTTCACAGCAGAGGCGCGTACTATAAGCAATTTAACCGTAGAGGAGTGCAATGCAAGCTTTCGTTTAACTATAACTAATGATTGTGAACAAGCAACTACTGCTAACGGAGAGAAGCAAACTGATAAACAGAGAAAAATCGGTATAACTCCTAAACCAGATGTCGAGGAAGGTGGAGAGCTAAAAGTTGTATGTAAAAATTGTAAATGTGAATTATGTACGACACTTAAATGCCAAAGAGTAAGGGAATTCCCATCTGGCTCCATCGATGTGAGTGAATTTTTCTGTCATCATGGCCCTAAATTTGATGAAGTATTGGTGCCACAATTAACGGACTTCTTTTATGGTTTTCAATTCATTGTACTTAATACTGAGTTGATGCAAGAGAGAGTGAAGCTAAAGAATGAGCATGTTTATTGTCGACGTTGCTTGCAGTACCTGGGTGAAAATATACTCAACAATAAGGCCGTTAAAATATGGATGGACACATTACTATTAAAACATCAAACGGAAAATGAGGCGGACATCACAGTAAATTTGCTTAACAAATACGACATTACGCCTACTTGCCAGCTTTTACACAAAATTATTGATGATACCGATGTTGGTGGAGAATCGATATTTCGAAATCTACATTTCTGCAAAGTATTGTTAGAAGCCATATTTCCAAATCGAGAACGTAAATTCCTACTATTGCAAGTTTTAGAAAAACAACTACAGGTGTTGCGAAACTCCACACCATTGGCTCATGGAAGCCACAACAACAATAATGTTTTGCAAGTGGAATTGGAGCAATTCAAATGTTTTAAACTGCTTTACAGAATCCTGGATGACACAGAGGACGAAGGTGGAGGAGAGAACAGAGTAGAAAAGGGAAATGATGATGGTGATAATGCTAGTAATGGAAGTAGTGCTAGCATTGACAACGTATTATTAAAATCTTGGAAAGAAGATATGTCTATACATGTGTTGAAAATATCACCTACTCTTTTTAATACATTATTGAATGAGTTGGATGTTAATGCATTATTACTACCCGAATTGTATCGCTATACCCAAGACTATTTTCAACTCAGTTATATATTTTACGAAGAATAGTATACATATTGGCTATAAAGAGAGATACCAAAGTGTCGCCAATGGCAACACGTCATGATATATGTTGACTTAAGTTAGCTAGAAGGAAAGGCAATTTAGATCATACGTTCGATTTACATGTATTTGTTTATTTATATTAATTAACTTTCAATACGCTTATTATACTAAGATTGTAAGCAACAATTAAACGGTATGATTTGTCTTTAATTTAAAACCGAAGTAGGATCAAAAGCATTATAGTTTTAATTGCAATAATTTAATTTACTCGATAAGTAGATACTCGTCTATATTTACATATGTATGTACGCTTATATAGGTTCTATTTTATAACATAATTGACTTGAATTTCGCCAAAAAAATTTTTAAAGCGTAAAATATTGTGTTCATGCCATCGCAAATCTAATATAAGGCTAAGGATCTACTAATAAATACATGTTTACAGAGTCGAAACGAGAGAAGGGATATTACGTGTATTTTCTTCTTTTTTATTATTAATTTAGAGCTCACATTCACAATCAGATTGCTTGAATGATTTCGCAAGGTCGCCACCACCACTTAGCATTATTTCTGTTTTCGTCGTTTTTTGCTGCGTTGCGATATTTGGAAACATGCCCGAATCCACTAGACGATGAAAAAAACAGGCCAACTGGCGAGAACTTCTGCGCAAATATATCTTGATGGAACTTTTAGGTAAAATTGTTGGTGTAAAATCGTAGAATTTTCTTGGGCTGCGTTATTGACGATGTTGTGGAATCCAATCGAATTTTTTTGCTTCGTTGAAATTTTTTAAGCTCATACTTGCACGTCAATCTTTTTGTCTATTATTCCTTCAAATTTTTTATTTTGATGATACATATATAAATATAAACTTAAGTGTTTTTATGGCGTTCTTTCTGATTTTTTGGCTAATTTTTTCTTTTAGTGCACGTTTGCTCTGGAGAATCCAGGCAATATGCGTACATATATATGCATATTGAAATGTGTACATATGAATGCATATTTTGGTGTTTGTTTTTTATACATACATACATATATAACAAATACGTTTTGCTTCCGTTTTATATGCCTATATACACATATATCTAATTCAAAATTAACTAAGAGTTAGCAAGCATTACAAGTATGTACATATGTATATAATGCTCCCTGATATACATTTTAAGCTTAGAATGTAGACGTTTGACGTTGGTGGTTACATATTTTTCTAGTTAATTTCGTTAAACTTTCATTAACAGTAATATTTCCAGTTTTTATTTAAATATTTTCTACTTAACCAATATTATATTGATAAATTAACATAATTTCTGTTAGATATGAGCACAGAGGTATGTACTAAACCAAAAACCAAATGCCTTTTAATATTAACACTTTAGAATTACTTTTATATTTCCTTTCAAATTCACTGACATTTCCTTAAATACCCGCAAATCTTCGCAACCTTGAAATAACGTTTGTTTAATTATTCCTTAGTCATCGTTATACCATCATGTGCATACTTTGAATTTAACACCTTATTTTGCCATGCGACTCATTTGCTTTGTTTGCTCTGACATTGAAATCTCCGCATTCTCGGCCTTGTTAATTAAAGAGTCCAATTTGTCCAGATGTGAGGTCATCTTCTTTTGTATATCTCTTTTGGCTTCTCTGATTTTCTCCGTTGGTATAATGGGTTTTATATCACTTGAATTCTCTTGTTCTTTCATATCGTCAAGACCTTCTAGAGCATTATTTATATCACCACCATCATTCTCAACATTATGATGTCCACTAATACTGCCGCCAGTTGCAGTGGTATTACGTCGACTGGCAGTCGCGGAGGTGGATGGTGTGCCATCTGGTATATCAACTGAACCACGATTGAATATATTCGATAGACTACCACATGCTGTCTGCTTGAATCGATTTAATTTCTGTTGTGTTGATGATAATATTGTATTTAGTTCATCCAAACGTCCGCCTACATTACGCATTTGATCTTCTTGCTGCTCAAGAAGCTATAAAAAATATATACATAAATAAATATAGATATGCACATATGAAAGTTGTTGGCTCATTACCGCAGCCTCGGCGGTCTCTAATTCCTCTTGTTCACGTTTCAAGCGCTCTGCGCGCGCCCTCTCGAATTCTTCCTCATCAGGCTTTTCTATGCCCAGCAATTCAGCTCTCATACATTCATATTCATATGTGCCTTCAGCCATCCTTAACACAAAGTTTTAATTATTTTTAATTCGATTTATATGATATTAGGAACGCGCACTGCGTGATGTCTAATGATTCAGTGAGAACTTCAATTTCGAGCAATTTGATCGATTTTTTGTTTGTGAACCCATACCTAATGTATAGTAGCTGCAGTAAAGGGTCTTAGTGGGGGTAGCAATTTTGATTTGAAGGTGTCACAAACGTCAGTTAGATAGTAATAGATGTGGTTTGATCAACGCATGCGCCAAATATGCCTCTATGAAAAGTTTAACTAACGGTTTTATATGGCTTCTTACGCGTATTCGTTTGAACTATTTACTTTTAGAAGCTTATATACATACATATATACGTTGTCGCTTTCTTAACTTAATAAATACAATTATTAGAGTACAATAAATAAATAAATATATAAAAAGAAAATTATTTCATGTAAACTTTGTTTTGGTCTTCTTTAATTATAAAACACGCAGATGTTTAAATTTCTTAATTAAAAAAACTTTAATTTAATGCATACTTAACTAAGTAGAATCAATTGAAATGCAAATGAGGGTATTTATCATTCGTTATTGCGCTCATAAATTTGTATGTACGACTCTGTGAGTGTGATCATCTGTGGCAAAATTTCCGTAACGTGCAAATCTTGCATCTCATACCACTGACCGTTAGCTTTATGCAAAATATGCGCTCGATATGTTCCTTTCTTCGGCTCACCATCATGTACAATATTCGCTACCAAATTATATTTTGTATTTTTGAGCTGTTCCTTGTTTTTCATCGAAAGTATATCGCCAAAATCAACGTTTCTGCGAAGAAATTTGTTGTGAAAAATAGAAATTAAATACTTATTGTATTAATTTAAAAACTTACTTGATAGGGAAATTAACAATTGTTGGGTTCTTCTCCAGGAAGAAGGTATTTTTTGTGAAGCGTTTAATATACAATATGATATACTGGGGCAAACGCGTGATTTCGAAACGTTTCAAAAAGTTATCCTTATACGTATTGTATTCTTTCTCTGTAGAGCCGTTGAATTTCGCCAGCAATTGATAAAGATTGACTTGCGGTATAATATTCTCCCGAAATTCATCGGTGAAAAGCGGCGGTGGGGGTAGATCACAAGTTAAATATAGAAAATTTGATTCCTCACATTTTTCCTGGTATTCTTCTGTGGCCAAAAGTAATGATTTTTGCGTATCATCCAGTTCTACAGGTGGTATTTTGCGTGTATAAATTTTCATTTCCCCTAAAAAGATTTTATAAATAATAGACGAATCGGGTTTCTTATTACCCTTCATAGCACGATGCAGCGTATGCAGGAACCATGACAGAAAATCGATAGGATCGCCTTGTTCAGTGATTTGAAAACGTTTGTTTGACCACAACACTACAGCTTGTAGCATTTCGTGCGGTGAGACGTGCGCTTTAAAATTACGTGGATTCCACATTTTACGCATAAGTTCACCGAAACGTTGTACCAAGTTAAAGATGGAATCACCTGGTGGTCGTTTTATTTTCGCATAATTCTGCTCACGTAGGAAGTAATCACGCAGTGGTCCTACATGTGATAATGCATGCAGCACAACGTTACAATAATCGTTAGCTTTTATGTTGTTCAAACCCACAACACCGGGTAGATATAAAGTGCCGTCCACTGTTCGAGAATATTTCGGTTCGGAGCGATCTAGTTGTCTTATCTCTTTAGGTTCAAATGTGGGATTCAGCACATATTTGATATCGTCTAATGAAGAGTCGATAATTTCATAAAAAAATGGCAGGCAATAGAAGCGTAACGTTTGTAGATTTAGAAAAACGTGATGTGCTTCCGATACAGAATGCGTATAAGCGTGTGTGTTGGTGCCACGTCCTTGAAAATATTTACCGCACACTAGACACGCGTAAACGTTTATGCGCGTTAGTGAGATGGAACAGAGTTTCTCGAAATCAAAATCCAATAAGTGCCGATTGATTGTATCCAGGTATGGACAAACGCGGTATTTTGGATTAAAGGCGGACGGTTCAAGTTCTAACAAAAAAGACAGTTTTTTATAATGAAAGTAATGAAATTATGCTTCAAATCTATGTGTTTACCATATTCGTCCTGTTCTTCTTTCACTTTGCCGTTCGCGGTCGATTTTGATTCTAATTTCAGCCTTTTCATAACGGGTGCACCTCCTGAGAAATTTTAAAGAATAATTTATAGAGAAAAATACTAATTAACATAGTTTTACATTAATAATTACCATTTGTTGACATCTTTATATTTAGTTGAATCCTAATTGCAAAATTGTTTATTAACTATAAATGTCACAATCAGCTGATAGCGGCATATTGAACTGGTGCTCACCAGTGTTGCTTCTTCGCTAATTATTTCCAATTCTGTTAGGGAAAAATTACGAGCGATTATGCATATATCGAAGTTTAAGGGTTTAAAATTCGAAATGTAGAGAGCTTAGCGGAAAACCGATGACTTTTTATATGAATCATGAGGTATCTTCGTATATCTAGACGTCACCTCTGGGTTAAATTTAAAGACTCAGAGTCCGATACCAATAGCGCCAAAAAATGTAGATTTGGCCAAACTAAGTAATCGTCCTATCTTTGCTCCGACTATTTCGAGGGAATGACTCTGGGTTAACTTTCTTAGTGACTATCAAAAACCTATGACCTATGAAAAATCCTAGATAATTTTCCTGGGTAATCAAAGTTGTCCTGTACGAAAACCCAAATAGACACAAGTATCTTCTTGGGTATTAGCGATAAAGCTCTCATGACCCTCCATATTACTTTGCTATAATTGTCATAATTGGGACTTTTATATATTGAGAAATAATTCTCGAATGGTGAAATTGCAGGTGGAGAGTTTTGGCACATCGCTTTTTCTTCCATGATGACAAAAGTGGAACTAAAGTGTCCTTTCTTGAAAAATCTTTGCGTCGAAGTTCCAAGTGTTTCGGCCAGACAACTGCCTTGACGGTCGTGAGCACCGATTCTTTGTGTATTTTCCACGAGTGGAGACCAGTAACTTAAAGATTTTATTGGTGAATGAGTGCAGGCGAATGTGATTCCCAGTAGCATTGGAATATCAACGTCATAGTCTTTGATACTCAGACCGAGCAGGTACTTTTTCGAGCAGTTAGTAAGATAATAGAGTGTCATGATAATTGTAAATGTCGTGCAGTCAGGAAATAGGAGAGATATCAGCTTAACTCTGAATAAAGGTTAACCCCATTCTGGTCAAACACGAATAAAGCAGTCATCGGCACATCCTCTGTTGTTGGAGAGAGCTTTTAATGTAAAAATTGAACAATAGTGGCGAGGAACATTATCCTGCGGAGGCCATTGCTGAATTTCCTTGAGGCGGTCGCCTATTCTTCCCCGTCATGGTTCATCTCAGTGCTACGAGGACAGCTAACGCGCAGTGTTGATAAAAATACGATTATAGGGCAACGCACATTGTGAAAGCCTTGCTGTTGGGCTACTGTATATAGGTTTTGAATGAGAGAAGAGAGCAGCAAGAACGGTGTCTATTCTCTTTGCTAATATTTCGTTTTGAAAACTTTGAATCAATTAATTTTTTTTTTCCTTTATTGAACGTGGTGATTGTCGTTTGTTTGAATTTGATTTGATTTTCTAGTCAAAAGCGCTCTCCACCTTATCCTTATGACCTCTGTCTATTTATTCGATGAACTATGTCAATGTCATTGCATATTTCGAACGGCTCATTGCTCCAGAGAACCTTCCCAATACTCCACGCGTTCCTCGTGTAGTCTAGCGCCAGTTTACATAGACGGGTTATAAGCAGCTCCTTTTCGTGCTATCGAAGGCAGCTTTAAAATCATTGAAAAGGTGGTATGTCGATTTTCTTTTCATGGTTCCTTACCAAGATTTGGCGCATGGTGGTTTCACAGGGTCGGGAGCCACACTGTTAAGCCGTTTGTTTGGCCTTACACACAATAAGCATAGAATCTTATATCCGATATTTAGTATGTTAAAACCCCGGGAATTGGATTTTTTATGGATTGGTCAGAGCAAACTCAAATTCTAATAGTTGGGCATGTTTTCGTCCGCGCAATAGTCTGCAAAGCAGTGGCTTTGTTGTTGTCTGCAAATATAACAGGAAATCAAACACTTTATCTCGTGGGGGTGTTTTAAAAATCAAAATTTTTTCCATATATTTTCAATGAAAAATTTCCCTTTTGGGATTTTTGGAGAATTTTTTGGTCTTTTCGTGCTGCCAAAAAGATGTCGAAATGAATATTTTTGAACATTTACGGCTATATTTGACTTTAACAAATATAATTATTACTTTTTATTAATTTAACAAACACATTTGCTGTGGTTAATGAAAATTTATTAATAAAAATGTAAACAAATACAAGATTTCATGGAGATTTTAGGTATTCACCATGCAATTTTTTGTGAACCTAACTTAAAAAATTCAAAATGATCAAACTAACCAGAAGTTGAGTAAGCAGAACTTGATGAAAACGAAAATGTCACTTCGTTTCTCTGACGGTTAGTTATCCTTCGGTTAAAGGTTAAGTTAATCAGACATTGTGAAAACGGGCCTAAGTGGTACCGAAGCTTCTTAAGCGGTGAAGCTGATCTAGAGGTTAAATAATAGACTAATTTTTCTAAATTTATTATAGGAGTATATGAAAAGGATTAGAATCCCTATTTAGCTATTTCACTGAGCATATTTATGTATGTTTAAAGAAGCATAAAAAATATTTTTTAATTATTATTTTATTCCAAAATGGCTCCAAGTGGCTGTCCATTATTTATTTCCATCTTTTATTGAAGGTCGTCTACGGCAGGAGTCATTTCTTCTAAATGATGAGACCTAGAACAGAGAAGCAAAAAGTTTCATGATCTACAAACTATGGCATTTGGAAGTACGTAGGGATTAAATTTTTAGCTAATTTTTGTAAAAGCAGCACACTTTTTTTTAAAAAAAAGGAAAGCTACCATAAAAAATTCAGATAAATCGTTGCAACAAACAGAGTTCGAATAATGTGTACTCCCATTTGGAAACATGTGATTTTGAGAAAAAACGCCTTTAAAGTTTTCATTGCACTCAGCGCACGTCCTGAGGCGGTGCAGCAAAATAAAAAGTTCAGCTGTTTGAAATATTGTTTTTCACTTTAAAACCAAATGCAAATAATTTCTAGGATCCAAATAATATAAAAAACTTCGTTTTCCAAAAACCAAAAATGGCTTCACCTTTTAACGATCAGTTGTTCATAGTTCCTTCATTTAAAGCTCAGTTACCAGCCCAGAAAAATAATCGAGGAATGCAACAAAGCTACGCGTACGAATTTTTAAACTTTTTTTTTTTCAAAATATTATAGAAAAATATTAAAATATATAAATTCATAATACACTTACGTTGATATCATTTGGCGTCCGTAACACCGACGTGAGTTATGCTTTCTCTAATATGGATAAGGAAGCGAAGCGTATAGGCGTGTTGATGCACGCGTAGCTGCCATCATAACTTCGAGTTCGTTGATAATTTCGTCTATCTAGGGACCAGCATTAACACCAATAATAATGTCAGTCTTGAAATCCAGCGCCGAATCCCACTTTGAACACAGTTGGCAATAGAAAAAGTAAAGTCGCCGAAGAAATACCAAATACTATAAGTCGTTCATCATGTCCGTCTTGCTATAAGGTGTGGAGGCATGGATATCTGATGAGTTCGCATTAGGTCTTTTTTGGGAAAATGTTTTTTGAGCTGTATGAGATAACCCGGCGACAGTAACAGCCGGTGGAAATAGGAGAAGAGTAAGACCTCCACTCCGTTGGAGAGATCAGTTGTTTGGTATTTCGAGTTGGTCTCAATTAGGGAAAAGACGGAACGAATTGCTGCTTTAATCTCGCCACTACAGAAGAAAAACGGATAAAGCAATTTTAGTTTAACAACGAATTTCGTCAAGATTTTTATGAGATTGCTTTTTAGAGCAACAAAATTTTTTTTTGTCAATATGAACTAAGTGAAGGTCACACATTTCTACGGTTTTAACAGTTTTCTTTAATTCAGTAGAGTCCGGAAAATAACTGGGCTCTAACTTTGATCAAAGTACGCAGTGGATGTTAGAATACCTAAAGACCTTTACCCCAAATCTGGTGATTTCGAACAATTGTAACTGATTTAGTAAGATTTATAGACTGAGGTCAAACATCAAAAAGACCAACTCCTCCGTCTATAAAATTTCTGGGATGACGCTGATGTCTCATAAGTACATCAATCAGTTAAATAAGTCTAGTAGCACATTCCAAAAAAAGAGAGCGAATATCTCAGGTTCATGTTTCTGTATCAAAAAGCTTATTTTCTCTAATTATTTTTAAAAGATATTAAATTAAGTATACAATTTATTTTGTTTACATATAAAATTAGAATAAGTGGACAACATTTGATGAAAATTTGAATGAAAAATATTATAAGCTAAGGCGTTGGCAGTGCCGTGAAGTATTGGATGAGTGCATAAGTTCATGCCAGATTTCAAGTGCAAACTAAAATTGAAATTTTTTGAAGAAAGCGCTTTTATTAATTAATTATGTATTCGCCATCATGTTTGGCAATCCACTCCCAACGTTCAACCAATTTACTGATGCCTGATTCATAGAAATCGCGCGGTTTCTCGTTGAAAAAGGTGTCAAGGTGGTTTTTGACGTCTTCCACATTTTTAAATTTTTTTCCATTCAAATTGTTCTGCAGCGATCGAAACAAATGATAATCAGAAGGTGCAATGTCGGGTGAATATGGGGGATGCGGCATGATTTCCCAATTCATCTCCTTCAGTTTGGCCAGGGTCGGTTTTGCAACATGTGGCCTGGCGTTGTCATGATGGAAAAGAACTCCTTTGCGATTGGCCAAAATCGGACGTTTTTCATCAATTGCTTTCTTCAATTCGACCAATTGCTGACAATACTTGTTGGCAGTGATCGTTTCTCCAGCTGGCAAGAGCTCAAAATAGATCACGCCTCGGATATCCCACCAAATGCACAGCAGTACCTTCATCGGATGCAATCCACCTTTCGACATCGGTTCCGCCCCTTCGTGTGCCTGTTTCCATGTTCTTTTGCGTTGAACATTGTTGTACAGGATCCATTTTTCATCACCAGTCACGAGCCGATCCAAAAAAGGTTCGTTTTTGATCCGTCGAAGCAAAGAAATTGCTGTTGACATACGGTCCACTTTGTTTTTTTCACTCAACTGATGTGGCACCCATGTATCGAGCTTCAAAGTGTACCCAACCTTTTTTAAACGACGAAACGCAGTTGATTTGTTGACGTTCAATTCACTGGCAACCTCTTCCGTCGAAATACGTGAGTTATTCGCAACTAAAGTCCTTAGAACATCGTCATCAAGCTCAGAAGGCCGTCCACTGCGAGGTTGATTATCGAGGTTATAATCTTTACTGTGCGGAGTGCTGGAGCACGGTCCATATAAACTTCGTGAATATTTTTAGTTGCAGCGCCTACTGTTTTTCCTTTGCGGAATTCGTTTAATATAATATGACGCATATGATCTTTTTCGTTGTCCATCTTGCATGCGTCTTTTCACTAAGCAACTCAAATCAAAATGAAGTTATTTTATGCTTGATTTACAGTTCGGACTGTCACCTTTCCAACAATATATAATATAATATAATAATATAGAAATATTCTTTCACGAGCGCCACTCTCAAACGATTCGAACGGCATCCAGTGGAATCGGGCACGAACTTATGCACTCACTGCGTAAGTCATAATAACTTTTTCAATTTTTATCTGAAATAAAAAATCCAAATTGTTATATTTCTTAAAGTAGTTGAATTTTCCTTGCCTCTGAACGAAGAGAAATTTAAAAAAATTAAAAGTTGAATTTTTTGTAGCGTTTTTTACAAAAACGTAATTTTTTGCATAAAATTATACAAGCCAATAAATGAGTTCAAATCAAAGATAAAATAAATCCTTCGTTCAGGGACTACAAAAATATGCTTAAAAGAAGTGTGGAAATTTTGAACTCGATCGCTTTATGAGTCGTTGAGAAATTTTGACTACCGATTTCGATAAATTGGTTTTAAGAAAAACCTGTTGAAAGTTTCATCATCATCGGTCAAGCCATAACAAAGCCGGCAGTTTATGAAACTCTCTAATTTCTACAGTTTCATCTCGATCGACTTGAAACTTGGGGAAAATATTCCTGACACTTTGTACTTTTATACAAAATATTATAAAAAAAAATGAATATTTTGAAGTTTCACGACCTATTAAGGGGTTACAAGGCATATTCAAAGAGTCCCTCTTAGGATGTAGATGTCTGCCAAGCAATCGGCAAACGCATACCGTTAACGTCGGATAACGGAACGTCGTTTCCATCAACATCGATTTGGGTTCGGCCTCACCATCTCCGGCTGTCTTTCACTTTCATTGCCATACAGCAGGCGGGAGAGTTGTTAGTTCTCCAGCTACAGCAAGCATGCGCGCGGGATATCGGCCACCGGTTTACCTATTTTAGTTTGAGAATTTTTCGAACTAAAAAATATATTCCTTTATTGATAATTTTCATGATTACATTACAGATTACATAATTATTCGTAGCATTCATATTTAGCTATGTAAAATAACAAATTTCCTTCAAATTAAAAAAACAATTAATCAATTGAAGAAAAATACAGATTATACAATATATTTTATATTGACAAGTGGATTATATATATTATATAATAAACGCTATATAAAAATTGCTATGGAAATACATACATACATATTAATGTATGTAAACAGTTTTATTTACCGTTAAATTTTAAAAAATTTCGTTGATTTTTCATTAAATTTAACTAAGTTGTTCGTAAAAAAAGGCACATTGTTGGTATATTTTTATTTTTGTTCTGACTAAATTTCAAAGACGCCTTCCAGCCGCGCTGAAGACGAAGCAATTTTGCCAAAGCTAAAGTTTTAACGATTAATAAAGTAATTATTGGCTTATTACCACTAGAAACTGATATATGTAAATGTTGATTAAGTTTTACATATATAATTTGCGGTTAAGGCATTTCAATTAGTATTTCATATACAAATACATACATAGTTATGTATGAAATAAATGTTAATATAAATCGCATATACATATATAGATGTACAGAATACTACTCCGTTGCACGCTTTGCCGTTTTCTCTTTATCAAAACTTAACTAAGATTAGTACTTTATTGGTAAATATTACGGTAAAACCATATATTTCGAAAGAAGAACCCAGCCCAATCCCTTACAAACTCCTTTAGTAGGGATTTACGGCCGCCAAACCCACACGTCCACCGGCACGTGTAAATACCGGCTCCGCATAGCTGTGACGATAGCCCTTTGTCAGATTGGAGATACCCTTCGCATTGGGCATTGGTGCGCCGTTAGCTGGTGGTGGTGGTGGTGGTGTTGCTGAGGGATAGAAGTCTGCATGTTTGTCGGTTGGTCGGCGATTGGATCGATGTTCTGGCGGTGCGGCGCGCATGTCTGGCGAGTATTCACGTCTCACCGATTCACGATGCCGTTCGCGTTCATCGCGTATGTGTTGTGGTCCGTCACGTGAGTGATCGCGTAATCCACGCTGTTCATAACGATATGCATCACGATATGGTTCTCGAGCATCTGTCATATCGCTAGAACGTTCGCGCAACAAACGATGTTGTTCAGTACGTTTGTTCGGCATTTCACGTGTTGTTCGCGTATCCGGCGCATATTCTGTGGCATACGGACGCTCGCGAGTGCGTTGGTGCATGTGTGGGTGCTCGTGTGGTGGCAACATTTCACGTGGCGACATGTTATTTTCCTCCCACAATTGGCTACGTGAACGTGAGCGTGAACGGCTGCTAACCGGTGGCGGCGAGTCATCGAGACGCTCTTCGTCACTCCAATCGGCGTAGGGACGACCCTTATCTGAGGGTTCAACGGCATCACGGCGTCGTGGTCTATAATCGCCGTGGCCTTTCTCTTCAGCCAAATCATATCGACTGCCGGTGCGTTCCATGGCGCGGAATTTATCCTTGGCATCCTTGAAGCGATCCTTGGGTGTGACGTCCGAGCGGCCAGTTGAATGGGCATATTCCAATGGTCGTCCATCATCATCGACACGCTTAGTGTATGATGTTTTGCTACGTTGTGAGCTGAGTTTGGTGTGCAGCTCTTCTTTGGGTGGCGCTACCAACGCTGGTTCCGCTGCACCCTCAAATGTTTTGTAACGCATTGCCGATGATTTCATCATCTTCTCCATGCTCTGTATATATGGTAAACTTTCGGGCTCGCGGTAGGGGTTACGTTCATTGCTGCGTGAATATTGTTTGCGTTCATGTTCGCGGTCTCGCTCACGCTCGGTGCCGCGTTCCCGCTCTCGCTCTCGCTCTCGTTCACGCTCGCGTAGGCGTTCCGGCTCCCGCTCGCTACTGCGTTGATGTTCGCGTTCGGTACGTTCGGGCGAGTGTGTGCTACGATGTGTGGCCGCATATTTATTATGGCTTGCGGTTTGCTCGAAAGGCAAATCGGCTGGATCAACGTAACGATGACGGCCACCATAGCGTTGCGCCTCCTCGGCTGCATACGTCTTTGACTGTTTCTTTGCTGTGTATTCGATGAATTTTTGTTTGTCTGTGAGATTCTCTTTGCGGTAGCTGGAGGTTGGATGCACGGGCAGTTGATCAGTCGTTGGATCTGAATCATCGTATTCGTCTACATCTTCCGATTTGTGTTTGGCAAAACGTTGTTCAGGAGAATCACGTTCCAGTGTAAGCTTTTTGTTCAGCAAGCGATTGATTTCGTTGTATTTGTCGGTGTCGCGCAGCTTCGTATGCTCGTGTTCACGTTCACGTTCTCTACTATTACCACCACCGCCTCCACCGCGATAGTCCTGTTTCGTTTCGGCTTGCATGACACGATTGAACTTGGCATCGTAGTCAGCTGGACGCATAATAATCGGTTTTATTTGATCCTCTCGAGACCAGCTCGCCGACGAGGGAGTTTTCGAGCGTGAGTCGCGTTCATGTGCGGTAGTAGCGATCTTCTCACGATGTGCGCTGCTAGTGGCACTCTGTCTCGGTGTGTACGGCTTAGGCAGATCGCGCAAGTAACTGTCTTCCGGCGGCTGAACGGCGCTTTTACGATTCAATTGTGGATGATGCGGAATGATGGGTGGTGAACGCTCCATAGCAATCTGTGATGGTTTGAGCGCGATGACTGAATTATCCGCTTCATTAGACCACTGTTCATCTTCTGAGGAAAAAGAAAGCAGAAAAGAAATTTCAAATAAAAATATTATAATTAAATTCATTTAACGCACCACTCGAACTATTCAAATCCTGACGCTCCGGACTCGGCGCCAAATCTGATCCAATACCCGACGAGCCGCGTGATGACACTTGCTTACCACCGACCGGTACTGCCGTCTCATTGGGCGCAGCGCCGCCTACAATCAGCGCATTTCGACAGCGCCGCAACTCGATTGCCGTCAAATTGCCCTTGGATCGATGTACGGTGTCATAGTCACGGGGCGGCAGTAACAAAGGCGGCCCATTGCCATTCAACTTAGCACGCAACTCTGCGGCCAAAGAATCGAACAGCTCATTTGTGGGCTGTGGCAGTGGCAGCGGTTTCGTGGTCGCCGTCACAGGCGGTGAACGTGAAACTGGCGAGCCACCGCTGTGCTCTTCGCTACACTCGGACTCACGTGTACTGTTGCCGGTATCACTGCCCAGCGACGAGCTGAAACGTTTGGGTGATGATTCGTGGCGGCGTTGGTGCTGTTGTTGTTGATGATGGTGTAACAGTTGTGATGGTTGTTGTTGTGACAAATAAAGTTGTTTCGACTTGTTGTTGCTATGTTCGCCATGGTGTCCGTTGATCGGCATATGTGCAGCCGATTTGTTGCTGTTGCCAGGCGTGGGCAGCGGCGGCAGAATGCCCAAACTGAAGGTAAAAGAAAAGTGAGTATAAATTGAGGGAAATGGTAAATTTAACAAAAACACAAAATACAAATGTAAATATTATAAATCAATGGCAAGAAGGCGAGTAAGCAAGTGGGCGCGTGGTAAGTGGCAAAAAAGCGCACCAAAACAGTTGAGATGTCTGGCCGCCAGCTCTGTAGTGCATTTCCGTCAGTTGGAATTTATGCGCGGCTCGCAGCAGCCACACTTGCCAAAGGGTGCCATAAACTAGAGCTGACAAGTGGGTTTATGTAAAAGTTTTCGAAAACACACTTGAGTGTCTGCACATTGGGGTAGTTCTATCTCTTCATATGTATTGTATATATGAATATAGAAGATAACTTTTCAGTCCAAATTAAAAGCTAACGTTCTCTCTCACTGATTTGACCCAGTTCTGCAATATTCTGTTCCCATCCACTTGCAACAACAATACGATTTCCCACTGCTTGAGGGATCCTCATAGAGAGTCAACGTGGTTTAGTTTCGAATGAAAAAATTGTTGAAGTAATCAATTCTTACGAAGCTTTGGGTCTGTTAACAAGAGATGCGGCTGCGAGCGGGTGTTGACCTTGAAGCCAGCAGCTCGCTATATAAATTTGTCCAAAATTTAAACTCGTCTGTTAAACTCATCTCCAACAAAAAGTTTAACAACGCCTCAGATGAGAGACGCCCCTTTTGATGAAAGCCATGGCACATCTATTAAGGACTATGATTAAAGAGCATGCAGCTGGAATGACTGATTCCTTAATAGGGAAGGGACCACTGTATAATTGGGTGATGTCTTCGTAAGAGCAACGGCTAACAAAATCGACATTCAAGAAGTGCGATCAACGCAGACGAGTAGGTCCATGGGAAATTTTTGTATCGGGTTCGTAGTGGGAGAAAGACTCTGTCACCGAGTACTCGCATGCAACTCGGTGGATGTAAAAATAACTACGATCTGGCTAAGGAAGCCTTTCCAGCGTGCTGCTCCATCCAGCTTGACGACTTTAGCGCCCAATGGGCAAAGAAGATAAATGCGGCAAAACTGTCGAAAAATTCAGCGTTCACAACGAAGCAACCCCAAATTGGTTGAGGCTGATTGACTTTGCCGTGGACCGAAATCTGATTGTCTGTAGAACCATATTCTAGGAAAAGAAAATGAAGTACCTACAACCGGACCGATCCAGGCCTCGGCTTTATTTACCATAGTCAAATCAGCAACGTTTTGCTCAATAACTTCATTTTGTAGGTAATGCCACTAAGCCTCTCTCATCGAAACCATTTTCCCTATTGCCCACAAATTGTCACACAGGCTTTTCTTGAGTCCAAATCTTCACCCAGCCAAATCATTCGCCAGAGATAATCACTTGATGGAAGGTCCGAACTATGAGCTGAATATACATAACAACCTCACAACCAAGGTCTCGAAGCTTTGCGAAACATTGCTTGCCTGACGGTCAGTCGTAACGATTTCAATGACTTACGACCTAATATGGGTTCCACTATCTAGCCACTGCAGAAGATGTCACAAGGAACCACCCTCATTCAACCTTGTTCCGTCCACCGCTCTTCTTGGGCGGCGATGACATCAGCCTTTTGTCATAGTTGTACATAAACCCGCTGGGTAGCTGTACCATCTCTATTGATATTGAACATTCCTGCTGTATGCCCTTCGAATATAGTCCTGAACCCGTTTGCAGTTGTCGTGAAGTATCTCTTTTTTATCGAAGCTGATTGCTACGTGGCGGTTTTCAAAACCAGCGCATAGCCTTGCTGGCGAGTAGGTTTAAATTGTCTGACCTCAGAGAAAGCTTAACATGACCATGTTGCAATTTCCTCTCTTTCTTAGCCCAGATCCAAGGCTCCACACACAGCTTGGCTATCCCATCTTGCAATAGGGTTGCTCACCTTACCAAGGGTGCGCCGTGAGTATATCTATGCGACTATGACTGCATATCCAGAAGCTTGTCAGAAAGAGGAACTACCTTAGTATATGTATGTACATACATCCATATGTACGTACACAAAGGCCATTGGCAGCATGAAACTCGCTGACACGCTAAAATCTATTGGTGGGCAGCAACATGTTGCTTTTTGTCGCAGTTAAATAAATATACAAGAATGGAACTGAGGCGACAGTTGTATGCGTCAAGAAAAGATTTGCAAAATTTATGCTATTATAATTCTATTTAAAACAAAATAAAGGAAAGCAAACTGACGGCAAGGCAGCAGCAGACTTGACAATGCTGCAAACTGAGATGTGCCTGCATCTATGAACAGCTGTGGGCATCTAAAGAAACGTATGGATTAAGGTTAATTATATTTTCATGAAAAATTCTTTGCAAAATGTAAATATTTTTACTTCGATTTGCTGTGTTGTTTATAAATATTTTTTTTTTTAATTTTATTTTTATTTTTTTTTAACAACACTTGTACAACAGTTCTTGTTCATATTGCCTGCTCGAGCTGTACGAGAACTGCCGGCTGCACCTTAATACAAATCAGCGCCAATGTGATTACATCATTTATTTATTTATTTAAAAGCGAGTGCTTACACAAATATACAATATGTATATATGTATAAATATGCAATCAGGTCTGCGCTTTTGGCACTTTTGTGTGGTCTCAGCCAGTTTACTTGCTTGACTTGTCATCATGCATGCCTAGTCTGGCCTCACTTGGCCTAATCTGGTTTGGTTGAGTCTCGAATTTGATTTTCATTTTTCTTGTTGTATTTTTTCTACACAAACCTTTTTTGTTTTTTATTTTTTGCCATTTCAGGTTGGCGTTCGCGTTGACATTTTTAAGATGCCAAATGTGAATTGGTGGTGAGGCACCGCCAACGTTTGTGCAGCGAATTTTGTATTGGTTTTCGCGTCTTCGAACGTATTTCTTTGAGGTGCATACAAAAGAAAAAAAAACAACAACAATAAAAAAGAAAAAATTGCCAGATTTGCTGTTTGAATAAATGAACATTTTTCGCTGGATTAGATTTCTTTGTTTTTCCTATAGAATAAACTTTTGGTTGTCAAGGAAAAAAATTAATAAAAAAATTCAAATTTAAAAAAAAAATATTTTTTATTAATAAAATTTGTGGAAACTAGAGCAAGTTTTCAAACAAACAATTGAAAATCAAGTATATTTTCATGTCTGGTATCATAATTCAAGAAGCAAGAGTATGGAAACCCCAAAAAAAACCTAACCTCAAACTGCTCCGAAACAAAATGGATCAGCTCAATTTATTGTGTACAAGTTCTATCCGAGCAACTGACGTACCTTGAAACCCCACATTTGGATTAAAACCATAAATATTAAGATAAAGGGTGTTTTTCAGACATATGATTCTCAAAATGGAATAAAACGCATATCATTTAATGATAAAGCCGAGAAATTAGGGTTCCATTTATAAGATAAGAGCTATTGTGCTATAAGAATGATTTCAGGCAAGTAACCACCTTGGTTAGCTCAATTAAATACAAGCCGAGAAGTCCAATTTTTGACTATTTTTTGCAGCAATAAACCGCCGAATATTCTCTTCGGGCTTATCTGCATAGACAAACGATTTTACATAACCCAACAAAAAATAGTCCAGCGTTGTCAAACCGCACGATCTTGGAGTACGCCACTGGTATAATGCGCTCATAAAAGATTTTTTCAATAAATAGATATTTCGTTGGCAGTCTTTATGGCACCAAAGGTCGTCCACATCGACATCGTTAAATTCAGACAAGCAGAAGTTATTACTCATGGCTTTGTAGCGTTCCCCATTTGATTTGAAGAACCATACGGTCGGCTTCATTTTTGAAGAAATATGAACCAATAACTCCCTCTGTCCATAGAGCACGGATCGCTGCAAATGTCATAATTTTGTTTATTTAACCTAATGTGAATTATCATCACTGTACAAAATTTTCTTGTGAAAATTGGCAACGCTGCGCATCTCGTTTTGATCCCATTCATTAAATTAGCGACGAGCTTGATGGTCATTTGGCTTCAATTCTTGCACGAGCAGAATTTAGTCAGCCCTAAACCATAATATTTTCTCATAATATCAAAAAATTGTATAAAGTGGATGGGCGATGTTGGGTGGAGTCATTCTGATCTTCTTCGATATTCTGCTCCACAGCAGTAAAGTAGCGTCTTCGATGCTCACTGTATGGCGTCTCTGAGGATGCATACCTTCCACTAAAGCGAACCAAACCATTATTTTAGTAGTAGGTTAGGTTGAGTTGTGGTGGCTACCAATCTATCGTATTAAATTCACTTAGGCCTGACTAAGATTCATTGTGATGCCATAAAAACTCGACCAACAGGCTTCATTATCCAGCCGTTTTGGTTCTGTAACGAACTTCATTAGATCCCTAACTTTTACGTCGGCTATTTTCGATAGATCATCCAGCAATAGGAAGCCAAAACTCCGAAACCTAACTCTGCTAAAAGCAGGACCATCGCATGAGATCGTTTTAACCATCACATCAACCCCGCGGCTTCTTTAGCATCTTCTATAGGGAACCCATAGTCTTTAACGTGTCGTCCTATCAGACAGCGGTCCGTCAGAACTTATATTACTTTAGCAATTTCCCTTCTTTTTAAGATATTTCATGATCTCTTCCAGATTGTAACCATCTTGACGTGGGTTGTTCTTAGTTAAATGTTTTAAGAAGCAGCAATAAAGTGGCAAAAGTCATACCAATGCGTTCTTTATTGAAAAGTATCTTGACTAGTAAGTCCATCCGCCTTACAGTTTCCCTCGATGTCCCTGTAATCAGGAACAGTCTGTTCTGCAGAGATCAGCGACAGTTCAACACTACTTTCGAATTTAGTGTAGGCGAGTGCAGTGTCTTTATGATTGTCTTACTGTCGCTGAAAATGAAGATTCTTAACTTTAAGGTTGGTCCGGATTGGTTTTTTAGCATTCAAATTCAGCAGATAAATATCTCCGCCTGGAACATATTGCTGTGATCAGATAGCCTGAAATAGAGGGTTCCTTGATAGGACACCTCCGCCAGTTGTTTTCTCAAGATTTGCTGGGTCGGTGTATATTTTTAGACCGTCAACTGGAGTATGATAATTATCTATCCATTCCTACCTGCTAGGAATTCGTGTTCTGAAGTAGTTATCAGTTAATATAATTTAAAATTTTCGAGTGCCCCCAAGGCTGAGTGGTTTATTAGATGAAAAAAGAGAGTCTCTGAAATTTGTACGTCTTAAAAAGCTTTACTAACGACACAGAAGTGGCAATCCTTCACATAATAGATTTCTAGACTGACATAAGTTAAAAAAAATTAAATGGAGAGGCCTTTCATAGCAACGAGGAAATAATTAATGCGGTTAATGCTGAACTAAGAAGAAAGATTTTGAAGACTGTTCTCAGAAGTGAATCTATCGGCTTAAGAAACGCGAGTATGTGAAGAAGTTAAAAAAGGACAAAGATTACGAATAAATACAAGAAGAGTTTTTTTCTTTTATTTCTCTGGCCAACTATCGATTTTTTTTTAGTCCCCACGTATATATGTGTAAATGTATGTAAGTAATAGTAATGAAAAAAAATGTTTATCGATTTTTGAAGCCTTTCTCGATAGTATCAAGTGTTACTGTGTCAAGCGCTGCCAAAAATTCATTTATTTTTTCTATTTGTTTTCAATTGGCATTAAAGGCAGCCGCAGCATACAATGGAGAAAGCGCAAGACTAAAGAGATTCGCGCCCACAGGGTCAGATATGTATTTTTAAAACTCGAAAACACTTGACAATGCAAAACAGTTGAAAAATAAATTTAAAAAAATTGGTATTTAAGTATATACACTTGTGCCTATGAGTAATAATTTTCAAAAAAGCGTTCTTCGTTAAGTGTCACGGAGAGCTTGTTATTAATGATAGGAAAGTTTACATACATACGAATATTAAATTTGCACACTGCGTGCAAGTGCAATGCAGTAAAAGATTTTACTAAATTAGAAATCAACAAAAAATGTTTTACTCAATAACTCCAAAAATGTGAAAGAAAAAAACAAAAATAACAACAAGTGAGTCTGCTATTTTCGCCGACTTATTTACTACTTATTTTCATACAGACTTGCCATGCAACGGCAGCTGGAATTCGTGTTTCCTACGGTCACGTAGACAGTCTACGAAAATTGTACATGAAATCCCCATCAATTGCCTCTTTCCCTCCCGCTAATTCCCCATTATTGCCACAATTAATTAATGACACTGTCATCCACCTATGTTTGCATGTGTCAGCGGCGCGCCAAATTAACGGAGTAACTGTGCAAAATGCAAAGTGAGGAAGAAAATGCGAAAATCGCAAAAAGTCACATTGCCATCGAGAGACATGTCACAAAAACGCTTGTCATTGCCTGCACTGGCGGTGCATGCCACGCCACTGTATGAGGAAGAACTATGCAAGCGCTTAGCAGAGTTGCATCACAAGCGGCGGCAGACTTGCCTACTTGGTAGGTAGCTGGTAGGCTGATAAGGAAGACAGTCGACGGTTGACTGTCTACTGTCGACTGCTGTCTGTGACTACATGTCCGTGTGTGTATGTGCCAGTGAAGTGCGATCAATGCGCATCACTTTAATAAAAAGTCACTTTATTTTTAAAACAAAAGTTTGTTTTTTGTTGTTGCATACTTGTGTGTTACTATTTTCTTAACTGTAAATTTGTATTATTTCGAGATTTTCTTATACAACTTGCTTCCGTGTAATCACGACTGCGATAGCTGTGAGCAAAACAGATTTTCTTTGTTGAATTTCTGTGCATGGTAAGCCAAGTGTATGTATATACATGCATATGTATGTATATGCACAACACCGAAATAAAAATGTGACTTTACAACTTTTTACAAACAAATATTGCTTATAAAATTATAAAAATTATATTTTTTTCACTTTTATATGTATATGAGCATAATTAAGGCGCCGTATTTTGTAGCCGCCGTGGATCGCTTTACTTCCTATACTCCCCAAAGCTGATTTTTAATTTAGGACTAAGAAATGTTAAGCTACATTTAAAAATTAAAATTTCACCAAATTTTTATTTTCAACAACATTGCAGTAAAAATCATCACAAATTGTTGTAAATATTTTGACAACTTTCGCTAAACCAACCAACGATTGAATGAAAACGGTAGACTTATGACACAAACTGACAGCTGCGAGTAGCGAGTCGAATAAACAGTTGACTACTCGATATGGTAAATAAATAATAAGAAAAAATTTCGCCAACTCACCGTGTTTCTAATTCCTCAAAGCGTTTTTGATTTTCTGGGCGATTGATTAGTATTTGCAATTGTTGATGCAGCGCCTCTGCTGTAGACTCGGAATCGCAACGATAGGCGTGTACGTGCAATGGACATTTTGTTGCCGGATTATATAGCAACAAAACGCATGCAACGATATCATCTGTTTGCACGGAGCTGGTTATGGCACTATGTGGTATAAAATGCTTCGAGGAGCCCTGGTATGGAGCGAAAGTTAAGAAAGTATATTGTTTAGGTAAATAAAAAATAATAAAAATAAAAATAGAAAATACTATGAAATTATACAAATTAAATTTAAAAAAAATAAAATTTTATAATATAAAATGAAATAAAATTAGAAAAAAAAAATAAAATTCATTACATTAAAATAAGATAAAAAACAAAATAAAATAAAATCACATAAAGATATTAAAATAAAATAAAAAAATTATAACACAGTATGAAATATGATAATATAAATTAAGATATGATTGATAAAATATAAAACAAATTAAAATGAAGTAATATAAAGTGATAAAAAATAAAAAGAAGAAAAGAAATGAAGTATAAAAAATAAAATAAAATAATAAAATAAAATAAAATAAAATAAAATAAAATAAAATAAAATAAAATAAAATAAAATAAAATAAAATAAAATAAAATAAAATAAAATAACATATAATAAAATAAAATAAAATAAAATTAAATTAAATTAAACAAAATGCAATAAAAATATATCAGAATAAAATGAAGTAAAATAAAAAATTCAAGCTTTAACAAATATAAAAAAGGTATAAATAAAATAAAAGAAAAGAGAATTTAATAAAATAAAATAAAATTTATATGAAATAAAATAAAATTTACTAAACGTTAATTCATGTATTATAAATTAGTTTAAACGGGCTCATTAATAAATTACCTAAATTAGAAGTTAATAAAAATGTAAAATTTATGGTATTCAAGCTCACATTTTTCCCATAATTTACTATTTGCCACTAAATCTCATTTCATAACTTTCAATACTTTATTGACTCACCTGTAATATTTTGATACCCTTGTGGGAGACCTGTAGCGTCACCTTGAGTGGCTCTTGTCCGCGTGACCGATCAATCAGATACGGCAGTACTGAGTTGATGACACGTGTACCGCGCAAACCTTTCGCCTCCTCGGCACCCAAAAACCAAACATAGTAGGATGCCTTTTGTACATCACGTCGCAGGCGTAGTGCCATTTTTTATGTATGCTTCTTTTACAGTAATCTTGTGACTTTGTCAAATTAAAAAAAAAGGAAACAACAAATATTTAATTTTTTTCTTTTTAATCGACTTCAGGCTGGCTGGTTAGTTGTTCGGTTGCTACGAGTATCTATTTTGTGCAACGTTGGTTTGCTGGTGTTTGTTGGCTGAGTAAAGAAAAAATTCCTTGTTTATGTACTATTTTTTCTGTTGCTTCAGTTGAAGTGAGTTTCTGTTTTTATGTGGCAGTCAGTTTTCAGGTTAAAAGTAATTATTCCTGTTAAAGTGATTTTGTTGAAGCTGAAAAGAGAAAATGAAAATAAATTGTAAAAGCTTGATATGCATTCGATAAAATATAGTGTTTGAGTTTTGATTTTTTTAATATGGTATACATATTTTTTATTTATTTAAGAAATTGTTTGGTTGAAGATTGCATTAATTAATGTCCTTTTCCTGAAAACTACTTCAGTTTGAAGCAGAAATAGAATAAAATATAAAATAAATTAAAGTGAAATAAAAAAATATAATAAATCAAAAATAGACAAAAGGTGAAATACAATAAAATAAGATAAAAAATAAAGAACGAGAAAAAATTTCTATAAAACAAAATAAAAAAAAATTATAAAAGAAAATAAAAAATTATAAGATAATATACAATAAATTTAATGAGATGAAAGAAAATAAAATGTAATAATTAAAATAAAATGAAATAAACAAACAATAAAAAAAAAATAAAAATTAAAAAAAAAAATAAAAAAATAAAAAATTATAAAAAATAAAATAATAGAAGAACTTAAACAAAGTAAAATAAATTAAATTGAATAAATTCAAGAACAAAAGTAATTATAAAAGTAATAGTCAATGCCAAAAGCAAAGATTTGAAATCAGGAATCCACACATTTGTTTTTATAAAAATCGCATAGTGTTCAGAATGCCAAATTTTTCTATGAAACAGCCAAAAGGATGGACAAAAAAGTAAGTGAGGATAAATTTACGGTCTACTTTTTCCAAAAAACTACTTCAGTTTGAAGAAGATATAGAATAAAAGGTAGAATAAAATAAAGTAAAATAATAATAATATTAAAAATAAAATATAATTAAAAAGAGTAGATAAATATTGAAATACAATAAATTCAGATTAAAAATAAAGTACGAGAACAAAAAAAAATAAAAAAAAAAGAAAAATAAACCTTTTATCTGAAACAGAAAAAAAGGCAAAGAATATAAGAAGAAAAAAAATAATAAGAAATGAAATAGTAAAAAAAATTCAAACAAAATAAAATAAATTTAAATACAATTGTGATTTTAATAGCAATAGACAATGCCAAAAGCAAAGATTTGAAATCAAAAATCAACATATTTATTGTATACAAAAATAATATAGTGTTCAGAATGCCAAATTTTTCCATGAAACAGCCAAAAGGTTGGACAAAATGGGATTTTAATATCGTAAAAATTAAAAAAAAAAAAACATTTATTAAGACAAATTTCGAATAAACAATTTTTTGTGGTTAATAATTAAGTTGTGGGGTCAGATGACTTTACAATTTTAAAATTGGATTTCAAATATAATTTTTTCTCAGCGGACATTTCATTTTTACAAAAATACATCAGTACTGCGAAGTTTCTTTTGGATTTCTCCTTTTTTGTTTGGTTCTGAACTTTATACTTTTCATTTCTTATTTTAACTCTTGATTTAAATTAGGTTAAGCAAACCTGATTTAATGATATAAAATATTTAACAAGCACTTATTAGTGAAGTATCACTACTATTGCTTTTTTCAAAACACTCGAACAATGATAATCAAGATATATATGTATATATGGAAATTCACATAAATCTGTCAACTTGGTACAATTATCTCCAACAAAATTTTTGTTTTGTCATTGTATTAATATGCATTGTTTGTTATAGCTTAATTAAGTTTTAATAGTATTTTAGACTGAATTATTATTATTTATGATTTTATTAATAACCATTTTTTATCTGTACATTCATATATATTGTTCATAGAGTGATTTTATTATTTTTTAATACTTTTTTTTTATTTTTATTGTCACGTTTGCCACTGTCACCCTTCATATGAAAATTCACCGACAATTTAACTTTAACGCAAAACAAACGACTTAAGACACAAACTTCATAAGAAAAAAATAAAACACAAACATTAATATTAATTTTTATGTGTGTGTATATTAATATTTGATTGTAATTTCAGAAACTTCGATTGAGCACGTTCACCATTTCCTTTTTTTATTATTTTATAATTTATTTCCTGTTCCAACACACTTACTAAATTTCAGCCAAACCAATTTGTATAAACAGACGCACATAATTAGCATAATACACATACATATATAAAAACTGCTAAAAATAGTATTACCGACCGCTGGCTTAAGCTTAAGTTTATGCGCTCGTGTAGATTTGTTGATAAATATTAACACCTTATTTGCCCAAAGAGCCAAAGGAAAAGCAGAAGCAAGAATATGTGGCAAAATTTGCATTTACAACTACGAAAAAGAAAAAATAAATTTAAAAGAAATTAATGAGCAACAATGTGTGTAAGGAGAACAAGCACAAGAAAGCATGTTAAATATAAACACATAAAGCGCACAAAAAAAAACAACGACAACAACACAAACACTTTAAAGGGCCGCAAGTGATACAAAATCGCTTTAATAATTAATAAATATTTTTTTTTTTATTCTAATTTTTTTTTTTGGTTGACCGACTGTTTCAGCACGTAGTCTGCTGCTTCGTATTAACCCAGTTAACTTTGTGCGAGTTTATAAATTTAAAAACATTTAGTCTTGCTTAAAGGCTTTTTTTAATTGATTGCTTGCTTTACAAATAATGTCACAAATACAAATATAGATTATAACGGCTTTGCGTGTAATGTTTGGGGTTCAAATGAGGCTTGCAGCAATGACAAATGCCACAAGAAAGCTAGACACTTTGGCACGATAACTAGCTATTTTAATTTTTTTTTTGGAATACAGTACATACAAAAAAAATATACAGGGTTATCCATTTTGCAGTTTCAAAAATAAGCACAAGTCAAATGCATTTAATATATTTTTTTTGTATGACATTCCTTTTATATCATAAAGAGTTTGAGCTTGGCAATAATCGCCTACTGAATTTTTTCAACATGAATCCGTTTGAGGTGAATTTTGACCAATTTTTCACACATTCTCATCGGTGTCTCAGCCATAATTTATGGATATTCGTTTTCAAGTGCTCAATATTTAAAGATTTATAAGCTTAAACACGGTCTTTCGCATAGCCCAATAAAAAAAAGTCGAATATTGTCAAATCTCACGATTTCGGTGTCCTACTGATGGATCGCCAAGATGAGAGATTACGCGGCCGTGAAAATTCTTACGCAATAAAGGCATATTCTCTGGTGTTGTGTGGCATGTGGTACACTCTTGTTGAAACTACAGACATATTTTTCAAGCCGTGTACTTCAATTGCAGGCGGTTATCATACGGATATAACCCTTTGTGATGACAGACTCGACGTAGTCATTCTTCTGGTCTAAAGAGCGCACCAGATAGTAAGTTTTTATCGGGTGTAATGGCCCCTCTTAAGTTATTTGAGCATTTTCGGAGCACAAATGCGACAGTTCTGCTTAATTACGTCTGCCCACAGTTCGAGTCCTGGTTCGACCAACAACCAAAATTTTAGAAAATTATTTTTTCTAATTGCGGTTGCCACTCCACTGGGAATATCATATACTTCGAGTGCATTTCTGATATAAAATAAATAAAAAACCCTCATAAAAATCCAATGGCTTAGAATAAACTGTAGGCCTCTCTATTGGTTGGAGTAATTTTCACATTTTCGCACTACAAATTGGAGTGGGAGTCGGCCGAAAATCAGCACAGCGGATATAAAGCGCCAATTATACGTATCCCCCGGGGTGAAAAATGTGCCTCGTTCCGAACGGTTCCATTTATTCCAAATTCTACTAAAATATTACCAACTGCTTGCGTAGGCGGACAATTATGTGCAGCATAATCATAGCTTAGGTAACGGAATTTGGTCACGTTCTCATCAACATTTTTGCAGTAGGTTTTAGCAACTTTAACATGATGTACTTTCATAAATGTCGGACTTTTAACTAAAGCAAAACATGTTTTGATTTTTAAGTAACTGTTTCAGATCATATACTTTTTTGGAAATTGTGAAAAAATTACAACAACTGTTTTGGACGGTAGAAGTTATAGCAGCTATTTCGGAAACCACCACGTTTCCTCATTAGACTTCTTTTTCCAGACACCTTCCTTCGCATTGAATTCGAACTTGGGATGCACACAGCACGAGCCAATGGTTATCCCATTAAGCTTTAGTGTACCGCTTTTACTTATTGTTGTTTTTCACTTTTCCTTTTAACGACATATCCACGATCAAGTGCTCAGATATTCTGTAGCTGTCAAACACTTAGTGCAATGTAGTTGTTTTTGCGAACGCAGATGTCTGGAAAAAGAAGTCTGATGAGGAAAACTATTGTTGTAATTTTTTCACTATTTCCAAAAAATATATGTTCTAAAACAGTTCCGCAAAAAAGCCCAAAAGCATGTTTAGTTTGACAGTTCAGTATATTAGATGTCAAAATACAGCCCTGTGCATTTGAAACCACGAAATGGATAACCTTATATGAACATAAAATCACAACAAAAACAATTTGTCTGCCCAAATTAAATTTTTTTTTGTATAATTTATATATGTGTTAACAATAACTCTTTTTTAATTTCTTTTTGTGTTGTTCTTTATTGATTATTTAATTATGTCACACATTTAATTTACGTTCACTGCCTTTGATATTGAAAGCATTTACAATTTTCGTTCCATATACAAACACATAAAAATACTTTACATTTTAAAATTCATTTCACGCCGCGCTTGCGTGATTTTTGTTTTGTTTTTTTTTTTTTTTTTTTGCATTTCACTCCACAGGCCAACTCAGTTTCACCATCAACGTGAGTTTGGATATAAGCGAACGTACGCTTAAACGCGTCTCGATCGTGCCACGCCAAGTGATTAACTGAGGTGATTTCGATAAATTTTCGGGTGGCTTACCGCGCTTTGATGATGGTGCGCTGCCGGCGCTCAACTCAATACCGAACCGAACAAATAATAAATAGCTGAAAACCTGCTGGATAGCCAAAAACAGCATATTGATCATCAATACTGCCCACAAGTGGCGGAGAGTATGCATATACACATGCTCAAATACACGACTCACAGTGAATCGCAGTGAATAGACTCGCTCACTCACTCACCAATTGATGTCTTTAGAAAAGGAAAAAGAGTGCGAGTAGAGTAGTGTGGCGAGTCGGCAGCGCAAAAGTTGTTTTGAATATTTAGTATGGAATTCAAGCGACCATCGATCTCAACATGCAAACAAACATAAATGTTTATATATTTCTATACGTGTATGTATACAGATTTTGTTTGCACATAGTGTATGTACGTTTGTAGGTATGCAAGTTTGCGTGTTTTGTATTGTTGATGTAAAGAAAGCTGAAAGTGGATTTGTTTTGTTTATTTTATTTTTATGCTTTTCTCCTGCTTGCAGCCTTTTTTCGTTGGAATTTTGTTTGATTTTTTTAGTTTATTTAATATTTTTTTAAATTCTTTTTGTTTTCTCCTTCGAAACTAAAAGTTTTTGTCGCTTATTGTCTAACGTCTACTCAATGCTCAGGACATAGCTGTGTTTTTTGTTGTTGCTGCTGCTGTTTTATGTTAATTTCTAAACAATGCCTCAAACAGCGGTAGTATATTGTACTTGTAAATTTTGCTTGCTTACCAGCATGTGGTTTATTGCAAATACAAGCACCTCGCTCATACGCCCACCTGCGTGATTTGCCTTCACAGTCAGTACGAATTGTTTGCATATTTTTTTTCCGTTTATCACGTTAATATTGAATAATATTTACATGAGATTGTTTGCTTCCTTAATTTTTTTTTTTTTGAGGAATAAGTCATGTCCTCCGTAGACACAGGTCTTATGGCTTTACTTAATTTTGACTTGGCTGTGAATAGTGAAAATATTGAATGAAACAGTCAAGATTTTTTAATTAATATCAAAAAAAAGTTAAAGTTTCGACAAATTTACGGTTATTTCTTTTTGTTAATTGATTTTCCTTATCAATTTGTATTATTTTTTATGTCATTGGTGTGCTAGAATACAGTTCGGTGGCGTGAGATTCCAATAAAAATTTCATTCTGATAAAACGGTGCTCTGTTATAATCAGTTTTGGTTGTTTGCCTTATGTTACTTCCAATGACATTCTCGCCAAAAAATATTCTCCTTTGTACCAGTCCTTAAAACTTTCAGGCTACCCACACGCTCTAGTCGTAGAAAAATGCAGGAGATAATTTTGTTTTAGTAAAAATTGCCAATGCAATGTTTCCTAGTTTAGATTTTAATATCCCTAACTGATTATCAAGACAGTTTGGAGCAATACCTCTGAACTGAAGATTAACAAAAGTTCGATAAGTTGGCCAGAAAAAACTTGTATTTTTTCGTTACCTATGTCCTTTTTTAACTTCTCTACATAGTCGCCATTAATTTCAATGCATTTCTTAAGCCTCTAGATCAACTTCTGAAAACAGTCTACAAAATTTTGCTTTTTAAGCTAATCGAGTACAGCATTGGCCGCAGTAATTATCTCCTCGTTGCTATTAAAGACCCTTCCATCTAAATTGTTTTTAATTCTTTAGAAATAATTGGAAATCACAAGGTTCTACATCTGGAGAACATGGTGCTGGACGTATTTCTTCGATCCCACAGATCGCAATAAAATGACTCGTTATTTCAGTAGTGTGGGGTGGCGCGTTGTCATTATGTAAAATGTAACGCCGCAAATCCTCCTTCCCCCTGTTTTCCAACCAATATTTGAAAACTTTTGGTAAGCCTTCTTCGGTGTAGTATTTTGTAGTTATCGGCTGACACTTTTCCAGACACTTTTCCAGTGGAATAGCAACTACGATTTTACATCGAGTGAAGTAAACTGACATTTTTACTTTTGCTGATGATTTTTGTTGCTCATATTTTATGGGTGGTTTAGCTTCTGGTGGCCTCCATACCATGGACTGCTATTTGGTGTCTAGATCGTACTTGGAAAACCAAGATTGTCACCAGTAACGACTTTATTAAAGTTACAAGACTGACCATTTTCGAATTTGTTCTGGAGAAATTGAGCACTGAGCCTCTTTTTTGCGCCTCATTTAAAATTCTTGGTGCCCATCGAGCAGATTTTCTCATGCATCCCAGATGATTACTTAATATTCGCGATACAGTCATGGCATTCTAGTCCAATTCATAAGCAATCATTTCATGTGTAAATCGTGGGTCTTCGTCAATTTTGAACTTCACCAGAGCATCAGTGGAAGATTTTGAACAACCTTCTCGTGGCTCTTCCTCTACTGACAAATGTATGGTCTGGAGTCAAAGAAATCAATTTGAAATAGTCTTTAAAGACGGTGCAATCGTTCTATATGTAATTTGGTATTCACTGAATATTTGTATTGTCTGTTAATTAAAAACTAATTTAGTTTATGGGCCCGATACTGTAAACGAACGCGTAGCACAAAAGTGATCGGTTCCGTTCCGGTAATTTCGATATCAAAGATGCACCAGGTTTTGATGGGTGTTTGGTGGGATTGGCAAGGAATAATCTCCCACGAGCTGCTCCCTTATGGCCAAATGCTCAATTCGGTCCTCTACTGCCAATAAATGGACCGCTTGAAGGCAGTACTAATCCAGAAGAGGCCATCTTTGATCCACAGAGGCCGACTTGTGTTTCATCAGGACAACGCCAGGCCACACACGTCTTTGGTGACGCGGCAGAAGCTTCAGAAGCCCGGATGGCAGATCTTAATGCATTCACCTTATAGTCTAGACCTGGCACCAAGTGATTACCATCTTTTCCTGTCCATGGCGAACGCGTTTAATGGTGAAAAGTTGGCCTCAAGAGAGGCTTGTGAAAATTAGCTCTCCGAGTTTTTTGCCAATAGGGACGCAGCCTTATACGAGAGGGGTATAATAAAGTTGGCATCTCGTTGGCAACAAGTTTACGAACAAAAGGACTCATATTTGACTTAAATTATACAAATATACACAAAGTTATCATATTTTGAAAAATATCAATAAAATACCGAAAGAACCTTTTGCTTTAACTAATATTAAAAAACTACAACTTAAAATTATGAATAATAAAAACTTTTGAATTAAACGCATAATGATGGAAGTCATTTCTTATAAAATATTAATTTTAAATTAAAATTTTCATCATATCTTACTCAAAGTAAATCTCAGCATATTCAAGCGCTTAAGTCATTCGAGTATTATGAATATCACCTGTAGTATTCATTTTACCTGAAAAACATCAAAGAAAAGATTTCATATATTTCATTTCCAAAAAAAAAAATAAATAAAAAATAAAAAAGCTTGTCAAGTGATTAAATTTCACTTGTCGGCGTAAATTAGCACAAATATGCAAATAACTGTCAAAAATAATTTTATTCTTTTGAAGAGAGCAAGCTTAATGATTGACACGCTAAATTGACTTAAGAGCAGCTTAAAGATGCACAAAGTAAAGCGTTGAGATTGAACAGATTTATGCGTAAGATTTAATTAATTTTTCCAAATATGACACTTTGAATACAGATTTGCATACATATATAATGTACGTATGTATGTCAATTTTCGTAAAAAAAAATTCTAAAGAAAAACTTAACAAATTCAACAAAAATCGACTTCAAATTGACTGCATGAGTGCATCACACATGCAACACATATGTATTTATATATGTTTGTTTTAATTGTAATAATTCACTACCCACTCTTTGAGCTGTGTGTGATATCACGCGCTGCGTATGCGAAAATCAAAAGCGGTTGAACGCGTTCATCAGCCGCTTTCTGCGTTTTTCACTTGAGTGCCAACTTCTTTCTACCGAATTTCAGCTAATCTTTCGGCTTGTGTGTGTCGTGCAACCTGTTGCTGGTGCTGCATGTGCTACTTACTATCAACCAACGAGATGATCTCGCAACAACACTCGGTGCTATTCACTCAGCACCAGGGGACAGTAGAAATTTGCCGCACCCAAAATATCAAATTGTGTGCAAAAGAAATTAGGCGCCGAAATGCTGATTTATGTGCAGCATACATACATATGTACATTGGTTTGGGTGTGTGTGGCCAAAGGAAAGCTGCGGAAAGTGTGCATAGAAATATGCATGCTGCGTCTAATAATTCAAAATATATGTAGTTATGTACAAGTTTTTTGCAATTGGATGCACGCTTTTAGGTCACAGATCCATGAAAGTTAAGCCACCTATGCGGTCTAGTGGCATGTGTATAAGCAAGATGTGGCAGCTTAATCCTACAGCCGCTTGATTGCTGGTCGCTGTAAAAAAACGCAGCAGTGACTTTAAAGTGATGGCAGCTTGACTTACTGCTTTTTCATGGCAGCTAGTTTTGCCCGCTCACCACTTTGTCAAGCAATTAACAAACTACGGATAAGTCAGTCAGTGGGGAAGAAGCTGCATGTGCGAAAGTGATCCAACTGCCTGCATATTTTGTTGTAAATAGCTTTTAGCACAGATTTTTGAATTTATAAAAAAAACACTAAAATGAAATAAATTAAAAAATTAAATTAAATTAAATTAAATAAAATAAACAAAATAAAATAAAATAAAATAAAATAAAATAAAATAAAATAAAATAAAATAAAATAAAATAAAATAAAATAAAATAAAATAAAATAAAATAAAATAAAATAAAATAAAATAAAATAAAATAAAATAAAATAAAATAAAAAAATAAAATAAAATAAAATTAAATTAAATAAAAAAAATAAAAAAAATAACATAAAATAAAATAAAATGATTTGAAATTTAAAAAAATAAAAGAAAATAAAAACTAAAAAATTTAATTGAAATAATAAAATTAGGTAAAGTAAAATAAAATATTACAAAACTAAATACAATAAAATAAAGTAAAATCAAGTAGAATAAAATAAATTAAAATAAATATAAAAAATAAAAAAGAATTAAATTGAGAAAATTAGGAAACAAAATGAGAAAAAAAATAAAATAAGGTAAAATAAAACCAAATTAAACAAAATAGAATAAAAACAAATTAAACTCAAATAAAAAAAAATTATTTATTTAGTATATAAATAAAATAATGCAAAATAAAAACCAAATAAAAAATTAAAAAACAAAATAAAATCAAATAAATTGAAAACGACTTGCAAAAAGTACCAGAGAGAATAGAGAGGTAGTTAAATATTTTGCGATTCGATCAAAGTGCGTTTAATTTACCTTATTTGTATTTATTTTATTTTTATGTTTTTTGGCGTAAGTATTTACGTTGTTTCTATAGTTTTTGTCTCTTTTTGCGCTTTTGCAATTTTTTTCTGCTGGCGAACGATTGGTGTTACGTACATGTGTATGATACTAACAACCATTAATGCGAGAAACTTCAGTGATGTTGCTTTTTTAAACAGTTTTATTCCAGGGAGGTATTTGCGGTTGCACAAATCATTGCGGAATCGCAAAAGATTACGATCTTTTGTTTAAAATGCTTAAGTACATAATAATTTTACCAAAAAAATTTTTTACACATTGTTGAGAGTAATTTAATCTTAATGTCTTTAAATATAAATTACTAAAATTACAATTTATTTTACCTCTATTTGTTGTTTATCTTTATTTTTATTTATTTATAAGTATAAAGTATCAGCTTGCAACGCTGCCTAATAAAATTGAAAAATAGATAGCTTCAAATGGTTTTTGGTGAAACTTAAAATTGCTTGCCATTGGGTCAGCGGGTAAATACTTATTCAAGTTAATTTCTTTTGCAAAAGGTTTAAAGTTCGGGTTAAATGTGACAAGGTTGGGATGCGCAATTGATTGTTCGTGATTGTTATTTTTTTTCTTTCCGAAAGTTGTGGGTGGGAATATTTTTGAATATTTTTTGTCAACAATTAATGTGAAAAATTGGCAAAAATTTTTAATAACAAAATATGAATGCGAGTCTAAATTGGTCTTGAGGTGAAATAGTATGGTTGACGAGATATGGAAAATGGTGCCATCGGTTTTCCACTTGGAAAAATTCGTTTGAAAATTTCAACAGTAAAATAATAATTTTTTTATAAAACAAAGAAAAATGGTAAAAGTGACAGTTGTTTCCATCTCCTTATCAGACTTTTTATGGCAGGAATCGAACCAAGAAATTCTGATTTAAAAAACGACGAGGCTGAGAGTTTCCTTCAGGAAATACTGTAGAAACTGTAAGCACAATGATGGGCAAGATGATATTTTGGAGCTGCTATCATCGATGAATTGATTAGCTGACCTTAAGATAAATTATTTATTAAAATTTATAAAGTAATCGAACTGCTTGGATAATGAAGCTGAAGCCACTCCAACCTAACATAACCTATAAAATAGAACAATTTCTTTTTTTTTCTTGGTATGAAACAAATCGAGCCTTAATTGGTATTTTTTTATGGGATCGGTATGAAAGTAAGTAAGCTTTTCTCAAAATAATTTAGGTATAAAGCTACCGCTGTACCAAATTTTTTGCAAATCGAACGATAAATGTAAATAATTCGAATAGATCTGTCCAAGGTCTACCTCCCGGAAGTAAGAGTCTTCCTCATGCCAATAAAGATAAAAGTCTTCCTATATACCAAATTTCATCTAAATCAAGGGATTTAAAGATTAAAAAGATTTTCTCGAATGGAATGACTACGTCGTACACAAATACACCAGCCAAGCCTCAGGTCTCTGTGAGTTTAGGTTGTGAGTTAATTCGTCAGTTATTGAGGAGCCTTTTATAATAAGGGTGATTTTTAGGAGTTGATATTTTTGTCAGATGGTACTTGTTTTATACATAGGTTGGTTGGACATGTCGTGCTAATCTATTGCCAAGATAATGGTTCGCATAAAGCGTTCCGTCCAATATTCGATCAACAAAACAGCACCATAGTAGCGATAAGTCGAGGTGGTGAAGAGTTTCGAGAAAGACCTTAATGTCTCCATCCGCATCGTGTGGATCAGCTTTTTTAAAAGATTTTGTGGTACTGGATATCCTGGATTACAAAATCCAACTCGTCACCCGTACGGTGTCAACACTAAAAATGAGAAGGCAACCGTTTCCGATTTACACAAGAAACTTTTGTTTAGCGTTGAATAAAGAAATTTGAAGAATTTGGCCTTCAGTGAGACACCCTTTACATCCTCACTATCTGCATTGCTCTATAGGCATTGAGAATAATTGGTTCATATTTCTTCAAAAATGTCTTAATCAATGACTTTTTCGGGCCTGATTTGGCGGCTGTTGGTGCGGAAGGCTTTCGGTTTCAACAAGACGGCGCCAACGAAATAATTAATTTATTATAGACATTTTTTGGTGAGTGCATTGTTCGCGTCATGGGCTTGTGATGCGGGTTAAGTGAAGTCGCTTGTCTAAGTAGTTAAATTCGAGATGGTTGACAACTCGGAATAGACTATTTGGCGCTTTATTGTAGAGTAGTTGGTATTGCGTACTGCCAATCGGAAGGCTCGGGTTCATATTCCCGTGGGACCAACATCCAAATGTTATAAACAACTAATTAAAAAAAAAAAAAATTAAGCTAATTTTTCTAATTGCGGTCGCCCCTCGACAGGGAATGTCCACCCCTACGAGCGTATTTCGGGCATGAAATAAAGGCTCCCTCTAAAAAAAACCATCAGCCGTTCCGAAGCGGCTTAGTATAAACTGTGGGTCCCTCCATTTGTTGGAAAAACATCAAGACGCAAAACCACAAATTGGAGGAGGAGCTCGGCGGAAAGTCGCTTCAGCGGTTACAAAGCGCCAATTATATAAATTACTAACTGCAAAAAGTGGTTGGAAATTGGGCCTCGCGACGGTTAATTGCCCGAAATCACTTTTAGAAAATAATGGCGAACTTTTATCTTTATAATAAAGCTAAATTTTAAAATTAAATTATATGAATTTTTTCTTGTAAGGCACTTTTCAAAAAACGACCTTTAAATTTGTTTGAGAATTATTTCAACTTTGATGCAGACTTTGGTAAAAAAATAATAATTAATATTTCTTTTTCTAATTGTGAAAATATTAACTTGTTTATTATTCGTCCATTATGTTTTTTTATTATTTTTCTTTTATCATTTCAATCGAATAATTTGAAATTCTCTTTTATTTTATTCCGATTGCAGACACATCAGCACACACACTCACCGATATTATCAAAGGTAAGTACAAAGAAAAAAAGCGATTATTTTTCCATTTTCCTCGCCTGAAGGCAAAACAAAATCGACTAATAAAACTTTTTCACTACCAATCAAAATTCAAATATGGACCGGCTGCTCCTCAAATGAGCAAAAAAAAAAAAGAAGAAGTTAACCAACAGAAGAATAAACAGTGCAATAGAGTAGACTAATCACTGAAAAATTGACTGATTGTTGCACCAACAGGTTGTGAGGCCGGCTGAGTAATAACTCCAATGATTGACGGTTGTTTTGCTTTTTTACTTGACTAAAACCTTGACTGACTGACGCGACGATGGCTGACTGATTTTCCGCCAGCCTTCTTGACTTAAAATGCTTATTATATGCCCCAATTGGTGCATAGTTTCTGTTATAGCGTGAGAAGAAAGAGAGGCAGAGAGTGAGGAAGCGTGCCTTTTTAAACTCAATACACACGAGAATTTCAAAAGAGAAATGCGAAAGTTTTTACTACGCCGGCAGGCAAAGCCAGTTCGTGTGTTGTCGCCTAAAAAATTGTACTCGCTTATGCTTAATGGAATTTCATTGATAAATGTGCGCATGTGCAACTGCGGTGGGTAAAAAAAAAATTAACTTCAAGCCTACGACTGACTCATTCATATAATGCAATTCAATGCAATTGAATTCAATTCAAAATTTATTGCGCTGAGCGCAAAAGATGAAAAATTGAAAAGAGACAATATTGAGAAGAAAATCGACAAGCCTGCTGCACTGCACACACGTCGAAGGAAAGTCGGTGGTAGAGGCAATTGTGCAGTTGTTGCTGTTGCTGTTGCTGTTGCTGTGGTTTAACTGACTGCTCTGTTTGCGGTTTAGCGCTACCGACGCGCTACTGTACATACAAACACCTGCAATATGCCACATACCACATACCGCATATCGCTTACCACATGCTACTCTCGTCACCGCTGCGTAGCGCTGACATTGGGGAAAAGTGAACCAATTGAATTGACGGTAATTGAGCGCAAATTCAGCCAAGCGATATTGTGTCGCCATAATTTCATGCAGTTCTAGCTCGTTGGCATGCAGCATACTTTTCCACGTAAAGTATTTATGTATGTACATACATGTGTAAAATACTTGTATAATAATTTTCAATTAGCGAAATTGCCAAGCGCTAGTTTTTCTTGCATATTTAACGAGTTTGCGAACTTTCCTTGCAAACCGCATTGATTACCTGCTTTACAAGAAATTCCGCTCTTCTCGATCATGTAATTTGTTTTTGTTTATTTCTATGAGCGCTATTGTTTATGTCAGTGCAAAGAAATAAAATAATGAAAATCTGCTAGTATCGGTGATGGTTTGCGTCTACGATAAGTAAGTTCGTGTCTGATCAGAAATTGAAAAATGCAATTGATGAGGCAGCAGCTTTTATACTCTCTGAAGCACATTTACATACATATACATATATAGCTTGCAGCGTGATTATAAATTTGCCATCCATCGAATTTGTCCTTGTCTTCGTCCTCTTCGTGCAGTCCCATTTGGATTCGCAGAGTTCATTTTGAATGGAAGTTTTATGGTCTAATCAATTTTTTTAAGTGTGAAATGAGTTTTGCTTCTGGGTTTGTAGTTAATGTGGAAAGGCTATTCTCTAGTCTCGTGTCCACCACGATCACACTGGTGATGTATGCAACACTTGGACAGATTGTTGTAAACAAACAGTAAGAAACCTTGAATCATTGCTAAAAGAGAAAACGATTCAGTTGACTACCAGCGACATTGTATTCGGTTCAAGCGTCCTCTGAGATCTAAATGCATTATCAGTTCATCAGAGCTTTGCCTGCTATCGAAGCAAGCAACTCTCTACTTAGAACCATACATCGCAGTAATGAAAAATCAACGGCAGCGCCGAGTGAGAACTTCAAATTTCAACTTCCAAACATACCAAGAACTACGGAAGATGGTATAGACTTTTATTACTCGCCTCTGATTATTCGAGTTTATAATAAAACGGGGACAACAGTCTATGGTGAACCTACTAAGCTATTCAAATGTGACAGCGAAGAACTGAAAAGCTGCATGTAGCAGATTTTTTATGGAATATGGCCATGAGAAAGCGTGCACGATGATTAAAATTTGAGTATGTCCAAGGGTTAGGAAGCGCGACTCCAAGTCTGGCGTCAATTATTGTCAAAAAGAACTTTTAAGGACAAGGAACTGATATGATTTTATAAATGTGCCTATAGAACTGGCAGTCACCACAGATCACCAGAGACCAGATAATCAGCACATGCCGAATCGGGAAATACCTACCAGAAAATGTTGATCTTAAAGCAACGTTCTATAACATGAAAAAAATGCCTCTATGTCGCTATGCCTGAGCTTGGTATCCACAAAAACTTGTATGCCTGTGTAAGCCGTCTATGGGTAACCAGTAACTGCTACTTTATAACTAGGAATAATCTTTACAATTTGAGGCTTGGCTCCAACTTCTCTATTGACAGTCATAACCTTGAAATCCTAGATAATTTCGTCTATCTAGGAACCAGCTTCAACACCAATAATAACATCAGCCTTGAAATCCAGCGCAGAATCACCCTTGCCAATAGGAGCTGCCTTGGACTGAGTAGGCAATTGAAAAGTAAAGTCCTTTGCCGACGTACGAAAACCAAACTCAACAAGTCGCTCGATGTACGAGTTATACGGCGACATTGATATAGTTCAGCGAATCAAGAAGCAGTGGCTACGCTGGCTAGGTCATGTGGTCCGGACGGATGCAAATACTCCAGCTTGTGGTGGAAGCTGAGGAAGAGTAAATTCTCCAATCTGTTGGAAAGACCAGGTAGAGAGCATCCTGACTCTTTTTGGTATCCCCAATCAGCGCCAAACAGCAAAAAGAAGAAATGAATGGCGCAATGTCTACGCCAGTAAAGTAAGTAAGTAATCTTTTCTTTCCGGTCAAGGCCAGATTAATTTCTTTTATATGAGTTCTGTATCGCTCAATTACAGCTTGGAAATTATTAATATTGCCAAAGAGTGATACTTTGGACTGAGTGAACCAGGTGAAATGTAATCTCCCCTCCTGATTCAAGATCTAAGAACAAAGCCGACAAGCCCCTCATCATTATTACCCTGTTACATCGCTACTAACGTCTCTGATCTGATCTGCTTAGAACCGGAATATAAGTGCAGACCCTCCGTCTATTTTTTGACAAAGTAAAATCGATCGCGTCTTTCTTCTTGAGTAAAACAAAACTGTGAAGCTGTCAATCATTTAGGATACACGAGAATCATAAAGAGTTTTACTTTTTTACAAAGCAACACATAGCACTGCTTCCCGACAGAGAGATATTGGCAAACAAATACAATACTCCGGTCGGTTGTAATGAACTTTACAAAGATGATTCAAAACTAGATGGCAGAATGATCGGTAAGTGAAAGGTTAACTAGAAATTTCATTAAAATTACTAGATCCTATCAGCGACCAGTCCAAATCGTTTTTCAATACGATGCTTCGATCGAACATCGTGCGGAGTAGCGTCATTGAATCGATGTATGTTGTGGCTTAGTTCTGTTCGAACCAGAAGTTAGCCATGCCATTTATAGTTATTTCTGGGAACTCAAAGTGCCACCCTCGTCCCTAAAAAAATACGGCTGACGTGAATATGGAGAGACTCCTCGGTTAGCTCACAAGGACTACCATTCCATGTAAAATGAGCCGAAATCTCTACCATCATGGAAGCTGTTGAACACATTGGAAGCGAGTACTCAGGAAGAGACATTTTCTTCTTTAGGCATAGTCAGGCAGCAATAACAATTTTGGGCTCAATCAGTATAAAATGGCACTTCACCGTTGAAGATATCTTACAGAGAGGGTTGAATAGAATAGATTATCTCGCGTTTGGGTATCTAGTCGCAGAGAACAGACGAATTTTCTAGGCGAGGTACATGAAAGCAGTTTCTACTGGATAAAGCGGGCATTGGTATGCCTTCAAGCACATGCCGCTGTTAAGGTATTCAGTCATTAGTCGAAGGGAACTTGATCGAATATCGACCAAGGAAGATCGGGTGATTAATATTCTCTGAAAAGAGAGGGCATATAAAAAGTGATTAAAGGCCTGTTGGTACTATGCTTTATGTCACAGCATGTCGAAAAACCAGAAGCTACTCTCATCTCAACAAAAAGTTCGCTGAAGATATTTTCTGACTGCCGTTTTCTCGTTTATTGTATTTTCAATTTAATTTTCTTTTAAAACATTCGATCTACTTTGGGCTTGAAGTCATGACTGATTTTTTATTTATCGCTTTTTATCGTGTGAAAATTTAATAAGCCACAAATTTATTTATATACAATACATTTAAATTTTTTATTAACTTTTTCATTAATTGTTTTCCACTTTTCATTAAGTTGCGGCTTTTTTTTACTTCAAAAGCTTACAAATAACAAAAAAAAAAAAAACCAAATTTAATAAACTTGTCAATCAACTAATTAAAATGCTTAAGGCCACAAAATCAGTGCACACACACACAACACACACACACACACAATGTTATATACTTGCATATTGCATAAAATCATAAACGAAAGGTGGACGTGCATTAAGAAAAATGAGTTTGCTTTATGAAAAATACCTGCCCAACAGCAACAGCAAGCAACAGCTGCAACTTTATTGCATTATACATACATACATAGTATACACTATATATAATTATTTATTCGGAATGAATGTAAAAAATCGGTGACCGCATTTTTCTGCAACATTAAAATATTTGTGGTTATAGGCATTTATTTATGTGTATGTATGTATGCCTATTGATTTTGTTATTGTAAAACTATTGAAGCATTATTATTGCTTATTGATTTAACACCCATGTAAGCTTCATAAACAAACATATATAGATAGATATTAATGTTGCGGCGCTACAAAAGCAATTCATTTTAATAGTGAAAAAATTCATAAGCGGCGCATACATACATACAAGTGAAAGTGTTTAAACGTGTTT